AAGGTTTTACGCGCACGCATAAACGCCTATGCGCATGTGTCAATGCGGCGCATGCGCAGAAAGTTTTTAAGCTTTGAGGTCCGGATTATGGGTGTCCGAATTAACGACTTTTGACTGTATAAGGGTATTTGACTGTATGTATGTTAAATAACCATCCTAAAACCAATTTCCAAAAATTTGCTTCACATCAGATTTGTTCTTCGAGGTCTTTATAAATAGTCAAATTTTTTCCCCATGTTTTGGATGCAGCACTTCCACATGTAATATGGAATAACTAGAGGTTTTAATTCTTACCATTACATTTTCCCAGTACCTGAATGTCAACTACAATTGATAGTTTGATATTAACCAACAAGGTTTGCAATATGCAGCATCCAATAATTTACAGTAACACTACCAATGTCAAGGGACTTGCCCATATTTCATCAAGTATTTTCAAACCAACAATTAATAAAGCAGCTCTTAAGAGCTTAATATAGCACACAGACTACTATAGGATGTAGAACACTTAGCTGTTGTGATTTCCCCTTTCATCAAATGCGCATATGCAATCTAACCAAATCTATTTAGTGACTGAATATTTTAAATACTTAGTGATTGAATACTCAGTAATACTTAGTGACTACTATAGTGATGACTTAGTGGTACTATTTGGTCTGTGATACCAGTAATATGTTAAGCTTTAATACCTTCTCCTGCTTATTGTAAAAAAAAAAAAAAAAAAAAAAAAAAAAAAAACTGCAGAAATAGACATTTTCTCTTATAGTTAATAGTTTTCTCAAATATTATAATGTTACATATTTTGTATTTAAATATGTAGTTTTAGTAGAATTATAATTAAAACTGGTGTATTTTCCTGTCCAATGCAGCACGAGACAAATTTTAAGAGAATGCTATGCCGGAAAAGTAAGAATACGAGGGCACGTGCATTTAACATTGAGTAAATGGATATCTCAGTAATTTTTATTGAAATTGAATAAATGTTATTGACCATTATGTTAACTGTAACTGTAATTTCATCCTTTTATTGCTTTTCAGTAATTTCGAAAGACAAAAATTACTAGAAATATTTCCCGACCAGTTGAAAACTAAAAAAAGCCAGAGAGAGAGCATCTCAGCTCAGTTGCTTAGTTACTGTTGTTGTGAGTTGTTATTTCCACGTGAACTGAGAAATTTGAGTTAGCTTTCTCTTTAGATATGCTTTGTTTTGCATTGTGTTTTAACATTTTTAGTAGTTTGAAATATAACTACTGATTATACTTCGTGATATTGTGGACACTTGTACGGATATCTCTGAGAAAATGTCCAGTGTTCTGATATATTTCTTTTGATAAGGATAACTTTTATCAACCTATTATCGGACTTGTGCATTCAATCTATTACGAACCCATGCGCATGCAACAATAACATTTGCTACACTAACAGAATACTTGCTTGTTTGGCAGTTAATCTGATATTCCAAAACTTAATTCATAAGCATTCCTGCCATATTTATTTATATACTTTGCATATATTGGGTATTGTTATAGGACCTCCAGATCTGCACTAGAATTATGTGATCAGTGTTTTCATTTCTGTGCTAACTTTGATGCTTTCTATGCTAAAGATTTGAATGCATCTACTCAAAGCCTTAATAAGGCCCTCAGTAAAATAATGTAAAGCCAAAAGTCTTTAATCCGGACTCGTCGGGACTTCGGCGATTCCAGATTATAAATCAGCAGTTTAAATCTGGTAAGATGGCAGGCAGAAATTATAAAATTAAAAATATGAAACCGTAATTTATGAAATAAAGAGCAATTATGATCTAAAGGGTATCAAAATTTACAAAAAAAAACTTAATATTTATTTGTTTACTTTATTAAATATTTCTTTCAACATGTGCATGCGTAAAGCATACATTACGCATAGTCGAAATTAAAAAATTGCAACCAGAAAACTATTTGATGTGTATTCGTGATATTTATAATGACGAGAAATTGATTTCAAATCATATCAAAGATGGAGTACATCGAGATGAAATATTACATTTAGTAAGGAATTATAAGCCAAATAAAATAAAAACATCTGCTCTGAAGATAAGGATAGTGCTGACAGATCAACTTGCGCCATGACGTCCCCTCCCCCCACAGAGCAGCGTGAAATTGATAAACAGATTTCAGAATGGTTAAAGAAACAAAGCATATGCCTTTATCCATTTTTTGCAGCAATTCCACTTTTTATTTGATGGACATCGAAACATGCTTTCGCTTTGTAGATCCTTTGGCAGCTCCAGAATCAGAAATTCTTTTTGACATAATCGAAAGTTCAAGCTTACTTTTATAAAATTGCTCTAACAGTCTGCAAAAAATAATAAGCCGGATCCAATTCGAAGATTAAGGAACAATGCAATCTGCAACATTAATTGAAATAGATAATTAGATAATTTTAGCTTAGCTTATACCGACCGTTAGACATTAAACGCACATGCGTAAATGTATTGTGCACATGCGTAAACGCATATGCACATGCGCATGCGTATTATGCACATGTGTTAACGCATACTGCGTTTACGCATGCGCAGAAAGTTTGTAGCTTTGAGGTCCGGATTATAGATCATTCCGGTTTATGGACCTTCGGATTAAAGACTTTTGACTGTATATGCAAGATAAAAAATATGAAAGTGAACTTCTAAATTTAATTCACTATAACCTCTCTTATTTTTATTTTATTTGGGAACTCCATCTCTCTGTCTTAGAAATAGCGTTATAAATCTAAAGTGTGTCATGCGATTTTACGTAACCCTTATGCAGATGTCTCTTGACCAATCACCTAATTGTAAACCAAAACTTAAAACTGAAACTTTTACCTGCCCATTTCTTCCTCTGCATTACTACTGCGACACTCACTCTCTTTTGGCTTATGCTTTCATCCTGTTAAGACGCTTCGCTACAATCATGTATGCTCTGCAATGATTGCTTATATAACAACAGTATCAAAATGTTTTTGGAAATAGGCGCAATTGGTGTGCTAAGTGAATTGTGGCCACAAAATGTGTATTTAAATAAATAAGGAATTTAATTCAGCTCGACTGCTTATTCTTCAAAACAGATGGACGCTGTAAGCATCAAGTATCTACACAATTAGTATTTCTACACATCTATGTCTCAGTATTCTTATTTCAGTGCTTCCAAAATTGTTCTGTCATTACGCAGATCCTTTGGCAACTCCAGAATCAGAAATTCTTTTTGACATAATCGAAAGTTCAAGCTTACTTTTATAAAATTGCTCTAACAGTCTGCAAAAAATAAAAAACTGTATCCAATTCGAAGATTAAGGAACAATGCAATCTGCAATATTAACTGAAATAGATAATTAGATAATTTTAGCTTAGCTTATACCGTCCATTATACATTAAATGTGCACGCGTAAACGTATTATGAGCATGCGTTTATGCATGCACAGAAAGTTTGTAGCTTTGAGGTCCGGATTAGGGATCTTTCCGGACTATGGACGTCCGGATTAAAGACTTTTGACTGTATATATCTACAATCCTCTAATAATATTTTTTTAAATAAAATACATTAATAAACAATTATTTTTTAATGAAACACATTATTACATATAATAAAAATATAATCTATAAAATAAAATTACAATTAATTTCCAAGTTTTAAATGTTAAATTTTTAAAATTCTAACACATGATAGAGAAACTTTTAAAATTAAAAATTCTCTTTAATTCTTTTTGAAGAATTTTTCATCTAACTTTTAAAAGCTACATTTTTATCATTAATACCATCATAATTAGAAATATCTGATAATGCCTTTTCACCTCAAAAATAAGATGAAATAAATAAGAAAATAAAAAACAATATCTTTCTCAAACCCACAAAAAACAAAAAAAAAAAAAAAAAAAAAAAAAAATTTAACACTATCATGAATATGTTATTAGAAATAGTTTTAGTAGAGCCATTCCAAAATTTTTGGAACATTTTGTTATATTATTGTGCAATTCACTTATTCTGGCAATTATTCCTTGACAACTAAGACCGCAATATTCCACACTGATGATTGCCCACATGTAGCACAAATCCTTCAATTTAATTTTAAGGGTCTAAATGCTTCATTGCACTTCCCACAATGCGATGACTAATAACACGATAATCATTAGTGCACATAAATCACCAATGAGCAACCAACAAGTCACCAGATTTTATGAATACTAACATCCTTCATTTTAATTTTTTATGTATCTGAATTTACTACACTCCCCATACCAGTACCAGTGATCTATCTTATGTATAAATACAAAAATATATATATATAAAATGATTATCATAAACAAAGGCTAGTTTTGTTTCAATTATTCGGTTAGATTACACATGCACATTTGATAACAATGCTACTATACTTGCAGATGGGCCAATACGTGTAAACAAAAAATTCATTGCATAGCACTAGAATTAATAACAAACAAGATAGGCTGCTGTGGTATTCAGTTTTATTCCTAAGTTTTATAATATTCAAAAAGAAGAGATAAAATTCGTTTATAATTAATAATATAATTTTTCTACAAAATTTTAAATTAAATTGGTACATATAAAATATCCAAGAAGGATTCAGGAATAAATTTAATAATTTACTATTACTTTTTTATTATTCAAAAATCAAAATTAATATCACTGCTTAATCTGGCCTATCTATAGCTATGCCACTTTTCAGAAGTCCTTTGCGTACTGTAACTTCTTATATAAAATCCATTATATCACTTTATCCATGTATGATGACATTAATGTCACACTGCATAATGGATTTATTAATGTATAAAATTTTATAAACTAAAAGTAAGATATGATACTGAATTGAATTTCAGACCAAGTACAATCATACAATGCTCCTATAAAATGGAAATGATAATGAACCAAATACAAAGTTATCACAATATGGCTTAAACTCCTTTGTATGTTGTTTTGAATAAACATATAAACTGCTTCATAAAAAAGAAAGAAAATATTTGCTTACTTTAGGCCGGACAGAAATCTTTGCCGTAAAATCTCCACCATGCTTTCCACCAACCTGCTTTACAAATGATGTCACAAGAAAATATTCTTTGTCTTCAATTCTCTGAATACCAAAATTCTCCCCATCATGCTCTAACCAACTATAATGTTTCACATTGTTCCACTGATCACACCAGTGCCGAATATCTATTCTATTATTTATTACTTTCTGTGTGAACCACATTATGCCAGTTGAAACTGTTTGTGCACTACGTGTTCTCATACCAAAATAAGTGCCAGGTCGGTATGAACCCCAAAATCTTGATGGAACATCTAGACCACTCTCTGTTACAACTTTAGGAAGATTTAATGGAGTTATCACAATATTTTCCAAATAGCTTTGGTAAAAAAAATATACAATGCTTAAAATAACAATCACAATATTCAAAGCAACAAATAATGCAACTTTGTTGTTCCATTTTTCGAGGAATGGACCAGCTGGCTTTACAGAGCGGACAGATGAGGATTTCTTGTGTTCTCGACTAAAGCCTTGTGATTTATTTTCTTTTCCGTGAACTCGTTGCCTGGCCATTTTCTCTGAAAGATAAATTTACAATTAGACAAAAGCAACTGATAAATTTACAAAAGACTTTAGTTAGATATAAATTCTGAATAAAACTCCATCAATTTTGATGGTAAACAGATACTCAAATCTCTTGCAATTTAAAAATGAATCATATAGAGAAAGTGAAAAATCAGGAAGTAGAAATGTAAATTAGTGGATTAATTATACTGAATTTCTGTCATTCATAGGACTAACATTATAATTTACAATTTCATAACTTTTGAAGGAGTTTAAATTTGCAGAGCTTTGAGTAATACAAGAGAGAAAGGAAAAGCAGCACACATCCCCCCCCCATTCACAGACAAAACAAAACATGCACACAAAATTTAGCTATTCTTTAGAATAAAAACAAGATTCTGACATAATCCTTCCATTCTAACACAAATTTTAGTACATCTTATTCATAAAAGGTCTTTTTCTAGCTATTTAAACACCTACAGATTATTTACTGGTTTCCTTCAGATAAAATGAAATATTAGCCTCTCACATGAAACTTCTCAGGCTATCAAATAGATGAAAGCTAGTGTGTTCGTCAATTTCAGTAGGACTGTCTGTACAGACCATTAGGTACTTTATTTTACAGCAAAAGATGTGGAAAAGTGCAATACCCTTGACATGATTTGAACTCGACTTCATGATTGGCAGTTCGAATTATAGCATGAAGGCAAGGACAGAGAAAATATCTTACTTCCTTTCCCATTTAAAGGGTGAATGGAGAAGCAAAGATCCAGTCACTAAATCTTAATGGTGATGTATAATTGTCCAACACTTTTTTTATTTCATATGCCACTGTAGAGACCATTAGACATTTTTTATTTTGAAGACATTTTTCTATTGTAAAATGTGCAATGCCTGTGCCAGGATTCGAACTCTGGATCTTCCCTTTGATAGCTAAACATGCTTTCCAATTAAACCATGAAGGCATATCAAAAGGAGAGAGAAAATACCTTAGATAGCCATTTAATTTAAGAAATAAATGCCAGATCATTGCTCTTTAATTCAAGAGAACCTTTAAAAATACAATACGTTTGTGGCATATTTTATGCATGATGGTTTTGATTCAGCTGAGGAAATCAAACCATTCCTTTGCAAATGGATGTACACCCAGAAAATGGAACTCTGATTAATAATATATTAAGACTGGAGCTATAATGGAAAACTGCTGCAGAAATCTGAATATTTTCTTAAAAAATAGCTATGTAACTTCATTGATTTCTAAATATATCTGGAGGGATGGGAATTAATGAACCTTACTTTTCAATTTTGCCTAAATTCTCCCCTCCTATTTGGAAATTTTAATTATGATTTGGGAAGCTTAAACAAACATACAATGCTAGTATGAAATGATTAAAAACAATACAGTCAAAAGTCGTTAATTCGGACACCCATAATCCGAACCTCAAAGCTAAAAATTTTCTGCGCATGCGTCGCGTTGATGCATGCACGTAAGACCTTTACGGCTGCAAATATGCCTGTGCGCATGCGCATAATACGTTTACGCATGCGCATTTAATGTATAACGGACGGTATAAGCTAAGCTAAAATTATCTAATTTAGTTAATGTTGCAGATTGCGTCGTTCCTTAATCTTTGAACTGGATCCGGCTTATTATTTTTTGCAGACTGTTAGAGCAATTTTATAAAAGTAAGCTTGAACTTTCGATTATGTCAAATAGAATTTCCTATATATATTTACTAATATGTAAAGGATCTACAAAGAAAGTATTTTTCGAAGTCCATTAAACAGAAAGTGGAATTGCTGCAAAAAATGGATAAAGGCATATCCTTTGATTATCTAATCATTCCGAAATATGTTTATCAATTTCGCGCTGGTCTGCGGGGGGGAGAGAAACGACGCGGCGTGGCGCGCAATGAATTGGAAGTTGATCTGTCAGCACTATCCTTATCTTCAGGGCAGATGTTTTTATTTTATTTGGCTTATAATTCCTTACTAAATGTAGTATTTCCTCTCGATGTACTCCGTCTTTGATATGATTTAAATCAAGTTAATCATCATTATAATTCGCTTCCGATAGTGAAGAAAGTAACAGAGAGGTTATTGAAAACGAAAAAATTTCGATTGCCAAATTAGTCGGTATTCTCGACACAGCAATTATAGGACTTGAACAGCGGAACTTTGTAACTAAACAAGAAATTTTGTCTGTTTAATAGAATTAAAGAGAAAGTATTATCACATGAAAGGAAGCAACTTAAACAACTTACATTGAAAGAAATGTTTAATAAAGTAAACAAATAAATATTAAGCTTTTTCTTTTTGTAAATTTTGATACCCTTTAGATCATAATTGTTCTTTATTTCATAAATTGTGGTTTCATATTTTTAATTTTATAATTTCTGCAAGCCATCTTACCAGATTTAAACTGATGATCTATAATCCAGAAAAATCGATAACTGGAATCGCCGAAGTCCCGACGAGTCCGGATTAATGACTCTTGACTGTAATAATAATAATAATAATGTAGTCATATTTAAATACTTTATTTAAAAACCATTAAAAATCTATTAAATCACCTTTTTCTTAAGCAGACAGCATAATTGAATGCAGTACTATAACATTGTCACATCAAATTTATGTATTAAGCACTCTCTAATAGCAATTTCTTTTACAACTTTAAAATTAACTTCATTGCCACTGTTAATTTTTTAAAAAAGCTTATCACACATGTCAAGAGACTAATGCAATAATAAATTGGTTCTAAGTAACTCACAAAATTTTCACTGGTTTACCACAGGCCAAGAAGCTATGGAACAATGATACCCCATTCTAAATTCTGGATGTTACTAGTAGTTCAAGGAAGAAAGTTGCATGGAGTTTATAGTTTTTTTCTATGTATAAGGAAGAGAATCAGTTTCTTTTAGAAAATTATTTGTAAAGCTGCTCGCACTGCTCAATCATTAAAATATAGTATAGTACTCATTGGAAGAAGCAGCCTACCAAGAGCTTGCTGAATAAATCCTATTTAATTAAGTTTATGAATTTAAAGATTAAATAAGAACCAATTTATATAAAGAATTTCCAGAATTTTTTTATTACAAATGTTAATATTTGGAATTCATATCTTTGATTTCTTTTAAGAGCTATTTTATCAACTTCATAAAGTTATTACAATTATAACTGCAGTGCTACCTTAGATCATAAATGCTTCACTTCATAAATAATTTCACTAATAAACTATCTAGACCAAACAAACAAAAAAAACAAAAAAAAAAAAAAAAACTCAGATGACAAATAGTGTCTTGAGTTATAAACACTCAAGACACACATGACGTTCTAATATGTTACTGAAACCGAGATAAGATTTAGCTAGCCCATTCTAGTTTATTTCAAAGTAATGTGTATCTGTTGCAACAAAACAAATAATTTCAGAAGTTTGGTGAACCTTGTTCGGGATACACAACCCCATAATGACAGAAATAGAGAATATATTTTACCAAAGTGATAAAAACAGGTTTAATGAAAGTATTGATTCCAGGTACTTCAAAAAAAAACTATTTTACATCAGGTAAATTTTTTTTTTTTTCTTCCAAAATCCATTCACCTAATTTTTCACAAGAAGATTCACTATCACTGCTCGATAAGCATCTTGTATGTCTTTTATGCCTTGGAATAATTTCACTACCATTATAACTTTCTAGTTTGATATTTCTTCATAATTTTTTGAAATTCCCCTTTATTGCTTAAAGTAGGGGTCTTCAACCCGTGCCCTGCTGAAGGCATTTTAGTGGCCCCACATTTGAATTTAAGGAAGCATTGAAAAATTGGTACCATTCGGTTTTGAAAGCCGTAAAAAATCGCCAAACTATTGTTGATGCCAGTGCTGCCAAAAATAATTTGGGAACCCTAACGCAAGAAAGGAAGTATAATAGTAAACAATTATCTAGGATTATTGTTTTAATTTAGATGAAAGTTTAATTTCATATAATACATTTTTATTATTTTAATTTATATAAAAAAGGCTAAACATGACTGAATGGAAGCATGAGAAGAAATAACTACTTAAGATCCTTATTATAATTTATATAAAAATTGCTAAACAAAACAGAATGGATGCCTGCATCGCTATTTCGCTACCGACTTATCACTGAAACATAGTTTCATCTCGTTGGTTGTTCAAACATAATTTTCTATACTGAATGATGCCTTTTCTTTGAAAACATTTTCGGTTAAAGTACAGAATCGCCCACTTATTTGTTTGCCGCTTTTTACAACGGCAAAAACAATTGGATTTTTGTCAATTTTCGTTTACTTTTTAAGTGAAAATTGGTTGATGTATACATAGATAAAGTCAAGGGTGTGCGTAGTGCCATTTTTATGCAATTCTGGATTTTTTTTTTTTTTTTTTTTTTTTTTTTTAAAGTGAAAATAGGTCGATGTGTACATAGATACCCAGTATATGCAATTCTTAAAAACGTGTCAAGCAGTGGGTGATTCTACACTTTTCAGAAAATTCTATTGCATACTTTTCGTCATGGGCAATTCCCAAATTGTTAAATCCATAGGATATCAAAAAAGAATTTAAAAATTAAACTAGTATTTCAATGGCGTTTTAAGAAATATGGAACTATATAAACTTACACAATCTGAAATCAGAGCGTACACTAGATTTGGCGCGCTGTTAAATGGGCACGTTTGCTAGATTAGGCGCTTTTGCGCATACATTTTCGCTGCAATTTTTTTACGGTCCTCAAAATGGAATAGTACCAAAAATTTTAAGAAATTTTGATTTCAAGAAAAATTGCCTTGTCAGCTTTTTGTCGTAAAAAAAAACTTTCGTTTTCTCTTATTCTTGATATTTAAAGCATTTTATTGACAAGCCATATATTATTTGAGATAAAAGTTTATGAAAATGATCTCAATGATTTGAACTACCGCTTACTGGAAAAAGATCTACTTGTTCACAATCTGTATTATTTTATGAAAGCTTTTGAGACAAAATTAATCTTGTCTGTAAGTCAGTTGCTAAATAAGAATTCCACTCACTTTCCAAAATTGATGGAGTGTGGTTCCATATTACATAACAATTGCATAGGCCTTTTTAAGGTACCAGTAGGTGTATTAATTATGCAGGATCTTATTTTACCATCTCTGCCTGGCATTAATTCCAAAATTCTACCTATTGTCCATTTGTGAAGAACTCTACAACATGAAATTCAAATAATTTTACACAATGCATTTCAAATTTGAAAGAGAAATTCAAAAGCAGATTTTTGTGAAAATGAAATTTTTATCAGAATTTTATCCTTGCCATTTTCAACAGACGTTGGAAGTGTTCCACCTGAACTTCAATTAGAATTTATAGATTTAAACTGTGACTCTGCAATAAAATGCAAATTTCTTGAAAATCCTACATTAATTAAATTTTTATTCGAAGGACATGACTGAAGACAAGTATCCAGGAATTCGTAAACATGTAACTCTTCATGTCTTCTATCTTTGGCAGTACCTACATATGTCAAGAGTGTTTTACAGATTGCAACAACACAGATTAAACCGGTAACTGAAACTTTAATCAAGAATAAACAATGTCACATTTCACATTAAAACTAAAGTAACTACCATCCCCAGTGTAAGGGTGTTTTTTTTTTTTTTTTTACCGTAAATGCATTTTGAAATATTGTTCTGTGCAATCATCTTTATACCTTTTCCATAGTTAAAAAAAGTTGCAAAACATTTAAATTCGTTTTCCACTTGACTTTTTGGAACCAATGTGTATATATACAAATCTGTAACACCATCTCTTCGCTTAGAATTAATTGTAGTCTTGTAAAACAAACCTCCCTTTTTTATATAAATTTTCTGACTACACTATTTTTTGACAGATATGTGGCCCACGGATCTTTGTGAATTTATTGATGTAGCCCTCGGGCATGAAAGGTTGAAGACCCCTAGCTTCAAGGATCATCATAAAATTCTTCATCAGATTCAAGATCATCATTAAAACTGTCGTCATCACTTCTATTCTCATATTCTATTCATATATTCTCTTTTTCTGTCATTATGGGTTAATGTACCGTTAAAGATATTTTGAAGTAACTTGCCTCATGTAATTAACATTCAAGGCCTTCTAAAAAAAAAAAAAAAAAAAAGATTTAATATTTTTCCATTGCTTAATTCTGATCAACAAAGTCTTTCACAATTTTTAACATGAGTCCAGATTGGTTAGCAGGCAGAGACTTTGAGCACTGGTCTTTTTCAGTTACATATGATACTGTGTTTCTAGGCAAAACCATGAGCTAAAAAATTAACAGTGAAGACATGGAGAACTTAAGAGAACCATAAAAGTGAGCTCAACAAGAAAGAATTATTAGTACAGTAAAAGCTCAACTATCTGGAAAGCCTGGAAATGTCGAACTCCTATAATTGAAATTCTGGATAGTTAAAAGTATAATAAATAGAATTCACTTTAGAAAAGCCAAACCAATAAGAAATCTTTCCACTCTAAAATAATAGAAACAATCATCTTATTTGTTACTAAATTAGTGCTGTACAATTATTAAATCTGCAAAATTTGTGCAAAATCGGATAAGATGAAAAATTTTTACATAATGCTACACCTTAATAAAGGTATAGCATAAGCACTTTTATAGTGATGCTATGTCTCACTTTAAAAACATTTTAAAATGTAGGCAACAAAAAAATCACTTTGGACAAATATTGAATAAAATAGAAGTTCAGTGAATCTTGAGCAGAGTGGTGTTTAGAGACAAAGGAGAGATGAAAGAAAATGCTCCCTAAACAGCACTATTTGATGTTTTCATGGAAGTAAATTTTGCATAAAAACGATACCATCTTCCTCATTATTTTCCATGTATATCTTCTTCTTCATACACTCTCCTTTGTACAGTTTTACTGTACCTGAAATAAAGTTTCATCAATTTTACCTGTTTAATATTGTGCTTGTCTTTTTTTAATCTTATTTGCATCAGTTTGGGGATATGAACTTGTGCATAAAGAACTGTCCTAAAGTTTAAATAAGCCATCATCTGTGGTTCAGGAATGAAGTTATTCATTTTATACTAATTCCTGTGGGAAAATTACTTTGGTTTCTGAATACAGTCAAAAGTCGTTAATTCGGACACCCATAATCCGAAATGATCTATAATCCGGACCTCAAAGCTAAAAACTTTCTACGCATGCGCATAGGCATTTACGTGTGCGCGTAAGACCTTTTACGACTGCGCATATGCGTGTGCACAAGTGCAGAATACGTTTTCGCGTGCGCGTTTTATGTATAATGGACGGAATAAGCTAAAATGATCTAATTATCTATTTCAGTTAATGTTGATGATTGTGTTATTCCTTAATCTTTCGATTGATCCGGCTTATTTTTTTTGCAGACTGTAAGAGCATACTATAAAAGTAAACTTGAACTTTCGATTATGCCAATAGAATTTCCGATTCTTTCTCCCAAAGGATCGTCAAAACAAAAGTATGTTTTCGATGTCCATCAAACAAAAAGTGGAATTGCTGCAAGAAAGATAAGACATGAAGAATGTGACAGAGAGTTAGTGAAAATGAAAAAATTTGATTGACAAGTGGTCGGTATTCTCGGCCATCGCATTAACGGGACTTACAGCGAACTTTGTAACTGAACAAGAAATTATGTCTGTTTATAGAATTAAAGAGAAAGTATTATCACATAAAACGAAGCAACTTAAACAACTTACATGAAAGAAATGTTTAATAAGTAAACAAATAAACATTTAGCCTTTTTTTTTTTTTGTAATTTTGAGACCCCTTTAATCATAATTATTCTTTATTTCGTAATTACGGTGCATATTTTTAATTTTATAATTTCTGCATGCCATCTTACGAGATTTAAACTGCTGATTTATAATCTGGAAAAACGGATAATCTGGAATCGCCGAAGTCCCGACGAGTCCGGATTAACGACTTTTGACTGTACTAAGGTTGATGAACAACGTTCAAGAACAAATTCAGTTTGTAAACTGAAGTTTCAACTAGACAGAATGCATTTTTAATGAAAGTCAATTAATAGAAGAAAATCAGATTTATTAACATCAGCTAATAATTTTTATATCAAATCACTTTTGGGAGATTATATAAATTCATTAAGAGAAAAAGAATCTATCTGAAAAAATACTGATGTGACTATGACTGCTTATGGTTTATTTTCACAACTTCTTGTTGACACTGTTTATTCATAAAAAAATTTACATCATCTTATGGATTTAGATGACAATAAATTACACCAAATAAATCCCTTTCCCAAAAAACTACTATTATACATTAATTTAATGGCTTATACACATGACATGCTACAATATAACTGGGAAGCAAATAAGCTTATGATAACAAAGAACATATGTGCTAATACATAAAAATAACTAATTAGGCAAAAAGTTATTCTGAAGTATTTATAAAATTAAATCAGAGGGGGGTGGAAAGTCACAAAGAGCATTAAGTTTCACAAACACAAGAAAAGCTGTAAGGGATAGGAATTAGAAAAAATAACTATGTGAAAAATAAAATGGAGCCTCATTTTAAGCATTTCACGCTAACAAATCAGGAAGAAATAAACCAAAAGTAAAAGCATTTTATAATTTTCATGACAAAATTCATTTCACACTAAATTCTATGGTTTTTATAAGAACAAAAATTTTAAATCTGATACAGTTCTAATACAATACCTTCAAATGAAAATTAAAATTCCAGTAATTTATGAGCATAGAAACATCTTTTTTTCAAAACTGTAACACAGGCTTGGCTTCAAGTAACTTTCTTAGAGTCTTATACTACCTACAATGGCAAAAACAAAAATAATTATGCACAAAATATAATAATATACAAATTTTGAACTACCTGAAATATTCTAAAAATACTGCAAATCAATTTCATACGAAAATTAACATCTAACTGTCAAAAAACTGAATAAACAAACTAGAAATACAGCATAAAAGAAAAAAAAAAGTTACATGAGAACATGCATTTATTAAAATTTAAAAGTAACTTTTCAAACATAATTAGCACAACTTAAAAGTATCTAACAGTCTGAATATGATAGGTTCAAGTATGATTAAAAAGAAGGAGGATGTAAATCCAAGATATAATTTTAAAAAGCAGTGACAGCCCATGATGCAATAGAACTTTAGAGTTAGTTTTATCCACAACAGTACACAATTAAAAGTTGCATAATCTGGAATGTATAAACATGGTTAAAGATCGTCTAGAAGGACTCTTTTAAACTTTAATGTGGTTTATCAGTAGAGATTGCAATAGAGATGGCCCAGACAAAATACAAAAACATGTTATAGCATATTAGACAAATATGTATTTAGACTAACATGGGAAGGATACATTATGGGATGCATACATCCTCTGTATATTTAAAAGGTGAAAAAATACACAATCTATAAAAATATTTAATGTTTTTAATTAGATTTATTAAGAACTAAATGCATTTTATTCAAATTAGATCAAAAAGTAAAAAAAAAAAAAAAATAATAATATTCCTAAGAACTGCACCTATTGCTTTTAAATAGTTTAGGTTGTTAATTAGTAACAGAAGATTAAATATGAAAGAATATCTTGTATTTTTTGAATGACAACAGACTTGAATGAAAAGTGTATCTACACAAAATCGTCTTTAGAGACTGATAGCCCTTTCAGACTAAAAAAAAATTGCTATTATTCTGCTAAATTGCTAAAATTTCTTCATGCAAAATAATATAATTCACATTTAATAAATTAAACTAATAATTAAACATTTTAAAAGAAAATTTTTAAATTTTGTCTAAACTTTGGTATTTTAATTTTCATTTTAATAATAAATATTTTATGTAACAGGAATAACAATTCATGTGTTCAATATGTATGATGCTGCATTATTAACAGCAACTACATACATACACAGTAACAAAGTGGGTGCTATTTCTTTAGTTCTTGAGGAAACTGGTCGAATAGAGTCAAACAAATCCCAAGCTTTCATTAAGGTACTGTTCTGTTTTTTGCAGATAAGTTTAGGTTAATTGATGCACAAAAGGGCTATCTTGGAGAGATGCCTTCATGGAGAACATTTTCAGTAAAATTGACTTATATTCATGTTATATGACTTATACACATGAGAGAAACCAATCATGCAGTCAATCAGTTAACCTGCAATCAAATAAGAATAAAACTTATAGCATTTTGTATTAACCACTCATCCACTGGTCGTGTTTCCTTGCTGGTAAAAAATTGTTTTATGACAGCCAGATTATTCCTAACTCTCTTTTAGAAAGTGGCACATTACTTTCTAACACATGCCAGCCAAAGTGATATTACTAGAAATGACCTTGTAGATGGTTTGGTCAAAGCTGGTTCCGACTACCTAAACCACATTCTGCCAGTGATTTTTCTACTGTTTAGAGACTTACTAAATTCGACATCAATAGATGTTGGTGAAATTGCCTTGAAGACTAGACTGAGCAAAAGTTACACAGTTTGTTATTAAAAACTCCAGTTCCCAACCTTCTTAGAACTGTAGATACAGCAAATTTTCACTTCAGAACTTGCAATAATAACTATTTTCAAAAACATCTCCATCTTATGGGTCTGGTAAACTCACCAGTGAGCCCATTATGCAGACTGGTTGACATTATTGGCAACCGTCTTTGCAACCAGTCTGACCTTAATGATGTTGCAGAGAATAATTCTGCAGAAAGAGTTAACTTTTTACTTGCTTCAAGATTATAGTTGGCTGCCAACAGAGAAAGGCAGTGTAGTCCAGTGTCCGTCATATACATTTCAAGGTGTCTTTAATGCCTTAACTGCTGCAAGCATACTACGCCTTACACACCTTGCTCAGCCGATGTGTTAACTGCCCCTGATGTATATATACACCCTTCCGAAATACTATCATTAGTGCACTGCTACCAGTAAAATTATTCGCAAAGCTTTGGAATGCAACACCACAGTGAACTTGACAGAGTATGCGAAGGAAGATATTATTTCAGAGAAGGGGCGAGAAATTTGAGAAGGGGATGGTTCTGAAACAGTGAAATATATGCTTTTTTGGTATACTGATTCTACAAAGTATAGCACTGAAACTTGATATTACATTTTACTGGTCTAAAAATAATTTGATCAAAACTTCATTTTTTTTGGAATATTTTTTATTATACAAACATCATTTTAATTATACTTACATTCTTTTTATTATACTTTTACTCCAAACGTTAAATTTTGTATTTTTATTAGTCCAAAGGGGCTTTCTCTCTGAAGGACTTTTGTTTTCGTTTTGCGATTTTGTGTTGAATCACTATAAATGTCTGTTTCACTTTTCAAACTGTTGCCACCAATGTTAGAGTCGCATTATGTTTGAAAAAAATTAAAAAATGAAATCTGCATAAATGTATGTATATTTCTCGCTTGTGATAAAAACGGTACATAGAGCGCATCAAATTTTCATGACGCAATCCTCCTATAAATATGGGCATGTGGAAGACCAAATTTGAAATTTGTTTTGTTATCGATTTCATATTTTGTAAAACTTTAATGAATTTTTCATTAACAAACTCAAGAATTCCAAAGAGAGCAATGGCAACACTCTATTGCAGGGGGGAACCTTTTTATCTCCAGCCCGCAGAACCGTGTATCCTAAATTCTAAAGATATGCTCATTTTAAAATTATTTTGCGACTGCTATTGAACTGAATTTTATAGTTTAAGTGCAAAGAACATGATATTTAAAGGTAACACACAAAACATTAAAAACACGCCCGTTTGAACGTAATTTAAAATCTGAATACTTTCAGATTTTTTTTTTTTTTTTCTCTTTTATTCTTTATTTTGTGAAAGTAAACAGTTTTTAGACAGAAAAGTGCACTTATTTTTTCCCTAATACATCGCATAACTATGCACACCTGTGTAAAAAACGATGGCACTGGCAAGTGGATTTTGTACGTTTTCTGCGGCAGTTAAGGGGTTCAAAGAAAGCACCTTGTATTTTATAACCAACATTAAAATTCAGCATTATTTCATATTAATATGAGAATGCTTTTCAAAATGAAAGAAAAAGAAAATTAAAAAAAAATTATTAAACATTGAAGGAGGTTGGAGGTGGAACTTAGAATATAGAAAAGCATACAAAGGCTACATGCCCAAGGGATGGGATGCCTTTGTAGAGAAATTTTGAAGGGAAATTCTTCATATTTACGCTAAGCATGGACAAAACCATGAAACCCAATTCCGCAGCCAGTCTGGTTGCCTGGAATAGATCCTGGAACAAAATCTCAGTATTCAACAGTCTTAACTACTCATCTACTGATGAGACAAACACTGATGAGAAATATTTTGGCTGTAACACTGCCTCAAAAGAAGCAAAAACTTATCATAATATTAAGTCTGATTGCTATACATTAAGTTAACTCTAGGTGATTAAATAATGTTATGCACTGAAAGATAAAACAGCACATTATGCATTGGAATAGTTTCAGCTATGATGTAGAAGGCATAATTTCCTTTTAAACCATTGTCATTAGTAAAAATGCAATAATTCTTGTACTTTAAAAACTACCAGAAATGGGTGTAAAATTAATATCTAACATTATAAATAGACAGGTGCAAGGCCATCCTTTCAGCACAAGCCTATAAATTTGAATCTGTGAAAAAATTGCTGTTTTTAATGCATTCATATGGTAAAACTCTTATAAATAAATTTACTCTGCATTTTTGCACTGAATCATCTATTTTAATATCAGAAAATCAAAATGAAATGAGTTGCACACTGCCTCTTTCCTTCTGCTCATCCGCCACTATAAGTGCATACAGATGAATGACCATATGCACTTACGATTGATGGGCAGATGACGAAACAGATGCAAAGTGAACTTCATTTTTTCCCCCTCCTCTATCACAATGCAAACGAGTAGACACATAGCATACTTCACATTAGAGCTAGAAAGAGAGAATATTCATTATTTAGCAATGAATTCAGTGCAATTTACTACTACTTCTTATTATGCTAAAGGCAATTTTTCTGCATAAAGCTTTACATCATACAGTAAAAACTCAACTACCAGGCATTCAACTAACTGAAAAATTTAAGTAAATGGAGTATATTATAATTTTAGAAAAAAAAAAAAAAAAAAACTAAATGAGAGATTTGTAATGCCATTAGAGCTAGTAATACTATTAACATGTGTATATTGTCATCAACCAATAATGGATAAACATGATGTCCCAACACAATTATAAGAAATTTGGGTACTTTTCCGTTTCGCCGGCGCAAATCTCGCCAAGCAGATTTTATTGGCGACAACATACTACATATACAAATAAAAAATGTTAACAATGTTAGTTCTAAGAGTTTTTTTTTATTTTGAAGGCCATACATTTAATATCGTTTTAAAATTATGTAAAAAAGTCAATAAATAAAGACAATAAATTTGTAAAAAGATAATTATTAAGAAATTTACTACGCTTTCATGGTTCAACATCCTGATTCGCCTTTTCATATCACGTGACCCCAAGTCTCACGTAAACTACAAAAATCTCTCTCAGTAATTATCTATATTAATTTTAAGTTGAATCTTAATTTGGAATACAAGTTTTAATGCAAGAATTATTTCAATTCGTACGAATAACTTACTCAGAAATTATGAAAATCTGCGGTGCTTTACTTCGCTAGTGCATTTTCACTAGAAGTGATGAATTTAACCCTTGACTTTGCCTTTTCTATATTTTCGCCTTCGGATGAACGGTGTGATTGCATCCTAATTAACTTAATTACCGCGAATGGCCTTAGAGCATAAAATTGAGCTATCCGGTAACAATTCTATGTAATTTTATGCCAGTATTGAAAGAATCAATCCGATAAGAAATGGCTGCAAATTGTTTTGAAAATGAGGCGTAAAAGGTTACCAGCGAGGATATTACATTTGTCATCAATTGTACCATTATTGGCGACTTTAACGCCTGCGCCGGCAAAACGGAAAAGTACCGAAATTTGTTCTGGTTTAAATGTAAACTTGATTAATTTTTCATATATTAATTCAGTTTTAAGTTTTGCAAAGAAGGCTATACTTTTCCTTGCATTCTGAAAAAAATTATTAATATTTGGGACTGCATGAAGTAGAATATTTTCAAAGTTATAAGATCCGGGCATTAAAGGAATCTATGATACGCAACTTCAAAAAAAAAAAAAAAAAGGAAAGGAAGTGTGAAAAATTATGATAAGTAATTTAAGTTTTTTATGCACTATATCAGTAATTTGTATCTCTTTATTGCCTAACTAAATAGATCTGTATATTTAATCTTCTACTGGGATGATCGGCAACATCTATGCAAACTTTCAATTTCAGTGGTATTTCCTAACAATTGAAATATTAACAATGAAATGTGTCATCTATTTTATTTAAAAATTTCATATAGTTTTAAATGTAGGTGTTTGATACTCAAATTAGTAATAAATAGATTGTTTTTATAATTTCAGAGCAGACATTTCACCTATTGATCTGACATTTTTAATGTGAATTCCATTTTTTATAAGCTCAACTATCTGGAATTTTCACATATCCGGAATTCAGCCTTTCTCATGCTTTCCAGATAATCAAGCTTTTATTGAAATGTATATTTAATTTAAGGCTAGCAAATCCTTATTTCTGAACTTTATCTGGATGTTGCTACACAGTAGTCAACATCCTTAATACACAAATAATTCAGCCATTTTTAAAATATGTATTGTGCTAATTCTCCCATATTAATACATTTTTTTAAAATATGACATTAAGCATCATGCCATTTGAAGAAATTCAGGATATGCCTTCAGTTATGTTAAATAGGATACAAAAATTATCATTAAAAAATGATATATTTTATATTTATTTCCAACTACTGCATGCTGTTTGTTTACTTAAATTACACCAATTCTTATCATCAATTTTTTTACACTTTCAGATTTAAGTGCTTTATGACAGTATATTATTTAAGTGCTATATGACAGTATATTATATCTATATCATTAATTAGCTTTTCTAGAAATACAAAGCATGGCTAAATGCTTTTAAAGAGGATAATTGAATAGATGATTATTTAACGAATTTTTTTCTGAAAAAATATTTAAAAAAAATGACAGATCTTGGTCTTCTTTAATACGTATTTGCAGTACATATAAAATTAGAAGCAGAAGTCAGTTTCAAAGAATATAATGAAAAAAATAGCCATTTAGTACTCCTGTTATCTTCAAGAAATGCTTTGTTGCAGCCTTTTCAGAATAAATACTTAGACTAAAACTGAATTAAATAACTTCATTGTGCTATTAGCCCACCAGCGGCCGAGCGGTAAAAACGCTGAACACTGGTAGTTCGGTCTGAGGTTCGAATCCCGCCTTGGCATGGGCATTTTCGGGTTTTTTTCGTGGTTTTCCCCATGTGTAACGTGTATATGAGCCAGTTTCCCTTAGAAAGTCTTCCACGAAGACATCCCTCCCTTTAGGCAGATAGCCCTCGTGTGCTTTGCCATAATTAAATAATCCAATCCAATCCAATCATTGTGCTATTAGTATCTATTTTCAGACACAATTTCACTGTTACATTAGAAAAAAATTTAGAACTTGTCACATACAAGTGATCTAGAAGAGATTTCAATTTAAATCAGTAAATGAAAGTATCTGCAGAATTTGGTAAAGGTTTAATAACAAAAATATTGAAATTTTAAATGGACTAATAGATTAAAAATATTTCATTAGAAAACAAAACAGAGAAATTTCAATCAATCTGCTGATACCAGGTAAAATTACATAAAACTGCTATATATAAATAAAAGAAAAAAAAATAATTTTCTTATTATTAAAAATGATATGCATTGTAGCTCTAATGTTTATATGAATAATATAGAAACAAAATAGTGACTTCTCATAATTTTTTGTAATCAAAAAGTCAGTGAGCTTACAATAGTAAAAGAATTTTTCACCAAAATAATATAATGTGCAGTAAAAAATGTGAAATCAAGCAAGTGTAATGAAAAATTATTATATATCCAAGCAGAAATACGAGAGGTTTGATTCATATAAGAAGTCTGAATTCAAGAGATTTCTAAATGAAAAGAAATTTTTTTCTTCAAATCAAATTTTCCAAAAATTTACTTCAACAAAATTTAGATAAAATTGATTTTAAATTTGTACTTGATAAAACTTAAATTCTAATTATTTTAACTAATTTTAAAATTTCATAAAGATTTCTACTTCAGTCTTCAAAACTGGTGATACTTTTATTATGTGAATTTCCTTACTTTGTATGCTACACAGTAGTCAACATCCTTAATACACAAATAATTCAGCCATTTTTAAAATATGTATTGAGCTAATTCTCCCATATTAATACATTTTTTTAAAATATGACATTAAGCATCATGCCATTTGAAGAAATTCAGGATATGCCTTCAGTTATGTTAAATAGGATACAAAAATTATCATTAGAAAATGATATATTTTATATTTATTTCCAACTACTGCATGCTGTTTGTTTACTTAAATTACACCAATTTTTATCATCAATTTTTTTACACTTTCAGATTTAATATCTAATATTTTCTAACACATATACTGAAGTTATATTAAAGATACCTTTATCATACCACATGAATGTGCTAGTCAAATTTTTAAAAATGTAGCATTTCTAATGTTGATTCTGACTACTAAAAACTATAGTTACTGAAATGACCTCAACAAATATCCTGCTGAATGATATACTCTTTATATGTGCATATATAGAATATCTATATGCCATAAAAAATAAAATAATTTTATAAATGTCAACATATGTTTGTAATAAACTTATACTTTCAAGAAAATTTACACAAATAAATGTTAAATTGAGAAATTACTTTCACGGGAGATATTTAAAGTCCTGTGAAGCATTAAAAACTTTGGATGCATGCATGATGGAAAGACACCATATATACAAAAGCTTTATTTCTAGGTTTTTAATTAAAATAATTCACACTGTAAATATTCAACATAACCATCTTTCATAACACATCATCAAAATGCATTTTTTAATTCGAAAACATTTCTGAAATTATTGCTAATAATTTTATAATGTGCTTCAACAATTTCTAAATTCATCTAAAGGCTATAGGACTTTTATGAACAGACAGCTCTTCTGAAACAAAACTACAAAAAAAATGGATGCCATTCAGTTTAATGGACTGGTGATGCAGCAGTTTAACCTGCTCCTCTGGAATGGCATCCAACAGAATTTGTAGCATATTTGAGCTGTATTAAATAAAAACTAAACCATATGAATAAAGCAACAACTACAGCAGACAGTTTTTATTTGCACAGTTTATAACTTACTTCTATCATATATATAATTCAGAGTTATGAACATTAAAATTTGCATAAAAAAGGACACCTTGCTATAAAACTAGTACAAATTTTCACTGAAGCGCGATTTTTTCAGGATTCACTCTAGCCAGATATCTAATATAAATGATAACATGCACTACTGTAGGTATCAGGGATTTTGAAATTTTAACATTTCTATTAACTTCCTTGTCATATTTAAATAAAGAGATAAATTATGAATTAAATTTATCCTAGAATTATTAATCATATTCTTTTTCGGATTTTACATTTATGCAACAGTTTTAAATAGATGAAATGTGGAAAATCTGATAGAAAACAGCATATATTTTATACTTTAATGTTTGTAACAATGAAAAAATTTAAAAAGTACTACACTGGCTTTTTCACTTTTTTAACACCTAAAAATGTCTCGTGTCTTAAATATCCCAAGATTAATATAACTGAGCAAATGCTACTAATTATGCAATTTATAATAAACTTTCGATTTATTTCAAAAACACCTTTTTTTTTTTTTTTTTTTTTTTTTTTTTGCCTGCGTGCGTTCTTTCAGAGAATTTTTTTAAACTTTCATTGACAATAATAATATTTTGGGGATACTATATTAACTGCATGCAAACGAAAGCAGAAAGAAGGTGAGGGAAAAACATATTTATCTGCTCATTTGTCATCTTTTAGAAATATTACAAAAATCACTGTTAACTTTGAGCCCATTCCCTGCATCACAACAATACAGAATGTAAGATTTGTAACTTCACTTTTTACCAATAGATAAATGGCTATTTTTGTATAGAATTCCACGTATACGTATGATAGTACTTTTTATCTCAAGGCATAAAAATTTAAATCTCTAAAAACGGCCGCATCAGAGACGTAAACAAAACGCCGCACCGCCGAATCGAATATCAAATCTGTACGATTTCGATTGTGCCCAGTGTACGATCATGAAATCTGTTTTCATGCATACAAAACACCTTAAAATTAATATCTAGAAACAGTTATGAATATATTTCAATATTATTATATTTTAGAACCTTTTTTTTTCTTTTCAATTCATTATTTCCATAAAAAATTAATTCAAACTATTAATAAGTTTTTTCCAAACACTGTTTATAGAACATCTCAACTCAGAACAGTCTGCGTTTCCAGTTTAGTTCTGATTCTGATCTCTGAATTTTTTCTCTGCTGTGTAGATTTGGCGTGTATTCATTGTGTTGTGTTCGTGACAGAACATTTTAATGCAACAATTTATTGTAATGATATCGTTGTAGCAGCGTGCAATATTGATTAATTGTTATCTGCAAGAATGGTTGACACAACTTTGCTGCTTGGTGTGGCTATTGCTTTCGTTATTGTTTTGATTGTAATCTTAACATACTTAAAAGAAAAACGGACAACTGCTGGTCGCATAAATGAAGGAGGTTGTAACCATGTCTTGTGTTTAATCGTGTTATTCTGCGTTATTTATTTATATATTTTGTTTGAAATTTCATTCATGCTTGCTGAAAATATTTAAATAATGGTTTTGATAAAATAGAATGTGTTACAAAAGTTCGCATCATATCCATAGATTCAAAATATATGAACCTTGCTGTGTTTCCCTAAAGTAAATATAAACATGTAGATATATAATGATTCAGACCGAATGTAATATTTAGGTAATTAGGAAATGTTGCATATGTGTCAAAGCATTTATAAATAAAGCAGATGTAAATACAGGGGACAGGGAAAAGTGGACGGAGCACCAGACTATAAAACTAAGTATACTGAAAAATACTACATATATGTCCAAAGCAGTTATAAGGTAAAATCCTAGTATACGGTACGCCTTTAATCCTAGTATACGGTACGCGCGATTCTGAAAAGTGTTATAACACCAAAATAATGCATTTATACTTTATCACCTCTTGATTTTTCCAAAATCTCGTGTGACCCTTATGCTAGGATTAAAACCAACTACAAATAAAACAGACGTAAATAAACTATAAAACTAAGTATACTGAAAAATTTTGCAACTTTCAGGATAAAATTATGATTGTTTCCTTGTGGTAAAATCTGAATGATTCACTGGCAAGTCAATCACCTTTTGCAGGCTGCTATTATACTAGCATAAAAATTGCATTATAATGCCTTCCAACAAAATACAGTGGTCATCAAAATTAAAGGATAATGACAGAAATAAAATGTAACTTATTTTTAAAGAAAAATTATGAATAGAAATTTTGTTTAAAAATGTTAGTTAACATAATTTAATGTTTGGCATTTATTCCCAAAATATTGAAATTAAAACCAAATTTATGTAACTTTGAAAATGATGGACAAATTAAGTTACCTCTTGTGAAAAAATTGTTTCTTTAATATGGTGTATGATCACCTCGGACAGATATGCACACCTAACTTCTTGAATTTATAGACTTTACAAAAGTGTTGATCTAGTCTTATGGACTTGCATGCCACTTTTCTAAAAGTGTACTTTTCAGCTCCTGGAGGGGTCCAGGGAGAAATTTACATGTTGAAATTTGGCACCCTAAAGCGTCTCATACATGCTCATTTGGGTTCACATCAGGTGAGTAAGGTGTCCAATCAATTCAAGTGATATATTCTGTGTGCAAATATTCTAACACCATATATACTTGGTGAGGCCAAGCATTGCATCCATTATCAAAAACTTGTGGCCAACAACACCCTTAAACAGTCTAACTTGAGATTTCAATACCTTGTCTACATATCTCTGAATGGTTACAGATGCAACTCGGTGTGGCCATTTGTCATGATTCCTCCTCAAACAGTTAAACATGATTGCAGAAACAGAATATTTCACTGGCAAGGGAAGGCAAGTTGTGTGTTCTTTTCTTTCTTCAGATCAAAATACATCTAGAATCACTGTACAGACCATATCTGGACTTGTTAATAACTAATGCTTGCACCCAGTCATCTTGACTCCATTGAACATGACAATGGCACTAGTTTAGGAAAGCTTAAGCCCTTGTTGTTGAACATTATGAAGGCCCGTCTGGAAGTTGGAGTGAGTGGGACGCAAACCATTGGTTTTCTCGCATTCAGTCTAACCTCGTTGAGCCTTTGTGCAGTGGTAGAATGAATAATTTGAGTTCCTGTAGCAGCCTAAAACCAAATCTCTTGTAGTTGCTTCATGGTTTCTTCGAGCCAACAATGACAGAAAATGAACTTCTAATGCAGTTGTTGCTCTTGTTTACCCTTGACCAGGCTGTCTATCAACTGATTTAGTGCTTAAAATGCAGCTCCAGATTCTTGATTATGATACTTTAAGGGGTATTCAAATCTTGGGTGACCTTCATTTATGTTTGACTCCCCTTGATTCTGCAAATTATTTACCTTTTTTGACATTCACAAAATGATTACTGAGTAATAATCACCCTCAGAAACCACATTCCCTTTAAACTGCACTGGAGACCGGAATTCCAATGTGCGTCCATTCTACACCACACAGTCAATCATTGAATTTGCATATTTCTGGTGCTAACGTATACGCGGAAGTGCAATTTGTCTTCAGTTATATTTAATTAACATAAATAATTACAGCATTGGGCATTGGTTGCAACATTTACTTAGTGAGCATATATTTTTTCATTATCCTTTTATTTTGATGACCAGTGCGTAATTCAATTCAGTCATTGTACGAAATTTGGAGCTAAAATATTTTTCACTGCATCTTAAGAACTAACAAATTTTTCTTTTGTTTTCTTAATTAAATTCCATACCACAGTATGTGTGTAAAGCTTTTGCACAATAGCAGTTGAAGAAGGTTCCGTTTGATCTTCAGAACTATAGTGTTGCATGCTTATTAATATTAAGCCAAATTATATTGCTAATTTTCTATTTTTAAGCATTTAAATTACTTCTGATTAAATGTTGTTGGCAAAAGTGTAGGCTAAGGAATTAAAAGCCAATTTATATGTGATTCTTATTTGTGAATTTTAAATACCTAAAATAAAACAATATATTTTTGTCTATAAATAAAAATTTTAAAGAATTTTCTTGTATACATATAATTTTGTATAAAATATGTTTGGATTTTTTTCTTATGACAGCATTATAAAATTTTCTATTAAAAGCTCCTCCAAGAATCAGAGATGTACCTGTCTTAAGAGGGGGTAATGTAGAAGGTCCTCGAAGAGCTGGTCGGAATATCAGAGCTCGAATGAGAGCTGCAGCGGCCAGACCTGAAAACGAAGGTATGTGCTAAAATGGTTGTTAATGAAATATAATGCTTAGTTTTGTATAATGATATAAATTGTTGGTACTCTTCATTAGAGCGGAAATCTAGAATACTCTGTACATAGATAAAGAATAACAAAACAAAATGAAATTCAATCTAAACAGTTGGCATAAAATTACAAATATCATTCAATATTGCATAAAAATTTTCAGTTTTTGAATATAACCGATGCTTTATAAATTCTGTTAAATACGACTGTAAATGGTGGCAAACAGTGCCCTGCTGACATTTACTTCTCCATTAAGCTCTGCCTCACAATCGCTTCACAGTTTAAGTGTGACATCTAGTTTTTGGGGTCTATAAAATTATAACTGTGATTCACAGTGAAATGTTCATATCCAGCATTTTTAAATTCCTCTTTTTTATATCCATTCCAGCAGTCTGAAAATATAATGCTGCCATATGCGTTACTTTCCCGGCATAAAGCCCAAATACCCATTGTTCTGGAAGAACATGTCCAACGTTGTTTTTTACTTCCTTGTACGAAGTAAAAAGCATTGTAATTGCAAAAATTTCAGCTATAATATTTCAACGAAAATATCCATTTTGACCACTATCAAATGCAATTTAATGATGTTTTTGCATGACATCTGTGAGTAAGGACAGAATAAAAGACTCTTTTCAGCCAAAAAAATTATAAAACTGATTTAAAATGAATTCTGAAGGGAATTTTTCATAGCGTCTGTATGTACATATCTCGCATAACTCAAAAAGGAGTAGCCTCAGAACGTTGAAATTTTGTATATAGGACTGCTATAACGTGTAGATGTATACCTCGCATTTTGGTTGCAATCGGCTGCACCAAACGTATATAAATATATGTATACAGTCAAAAGTCTTAAATCCGGACTCCTCGGGGCGATTCCAGATTATAGATCATCAATTTAAATCTGGTAAGATGGCATGCAGAAATTATAAAATTAAAAATATGAAATAAAGAGCAATTATGATCTAAATCTAAAGGGTATAAAAATTTACAAAAAAAAAAGCTTAATATGTATTTGTTTACTTTAGTAAACATTTCTTTCAACGCATGCATGCGTAAAGCATACATTACACATAGACGAAATTAGGAAATTGCAACCACAAAACTATTTGATGTATATTCGTGATATTTATAATGACGAGGAATTTAATTCAAATCATATCAAAGATGGAGTACATCGAGATGAAATACTACATTTAGTAAGGAATCATAAGCCGAATAAAATAAAAACATCTGCCCTGAAGATAAGGATAGTGCTGACAGATCAACTTCCAGTTCATAGCGCGCCGCGACGTCCCCCCCCCGCACTCTGCAGAGCAGCGTGAAATTGATAAACAGATTTAGGAATGGTTAGAGAAACAAAGGATATGCCTTTATCCATTTTTTGCAGCAATTCCACTTTTTATTTGATGGACATCGAAACATGCTTTTGCTTTGTAGATCCTTTGGCAACTCCAGAATCGGAAATTCTTTTTGACATAATCGAAAGTTCAAGCTTACTTTTATAAAATTGCTCTAACGGTATGCAAAAAATAATAAGCCATATCCAATTCGAAGATTAAGGAACAACGCAATCTGCAACATTAACTGAAATAGATAATTAGATAATTTTAGCTTAGCTTATACCGTCCGTTATACGTTAAACGCGCATGTGTAAACGTATTATGTGCATGCGTAAAAGTCTTAACGCATACTGCGTTTACGCATGTGCAGAAAGTTTGTAGCTTCGAGGTCCGGATTATAGGTCATTCCGGTTTATGGATGTCCTAATTAAAGACTTTTGACTGTATATGCAAGATAAAAAATATGAAAGTGAACTTCTAAATTTAATTCACTATAACCTCTCTTATTTTTATTTTATTTGGGAACTTCATCTCTCTGTCTTAGAAATAGCGTTATAAATCTAAAGTGTGTCATGCTAATTAATCATGCGATTTTACGTAACCCTTATGCAGATGTCTCTTGACCAATCACCTAATTGTAAACCAAAACTTAAAACTGAAACTTTTACCTGCCCATTTCTTCCTCTGCATTACTACTGCGACACTCACTCTCTTCTGGCTTATGCTTTCATCCTGTTCAGACGCTTCGCTACAATCATGTATGCTCTGCAATGATTGCTTATATAACAACAGTATCAAAATGTTTTTGGAAATAGGTGCAATTGGTGTGCTAAGTGAATTGTGGCCACAAAATGTGTATTTAAATAAATAAGGAATTTAATTCAGCTCGACTGCTTATTCTTCAAAATAGATGGACGCTGTAAGCATCAAGTATCTATACAATTAGTATTTCTACACATCTATGTCTCAGTATTCTTATTTCAGTGCTTCCAAAATTGTTCTGTCATTACGCAGATCCTTTGGCAACTCCAGAATCGGAAATTCTTTTTGACATAATCGAAAGTTCAAGCTTACTTTTATAAAATTGCTCTAACAGTCTGCAAAAAATAAAAAACTGTATCCAATTCGAAGATTAAGGAACAATGCAATCTGCAATATTAACTGAAATAGATAATTAGATAATTAGCTTAGCTTATACCGTCCGTTATACATTAAATGCGCACGCGTAAACATATTATGAGCATGCGTTTACACATGCGCAGAAAGTTTGTAGCTTTGAGGTCCGGATTAGGGATCTTTCCGGACTATGGGCGTCCGGATTAAAGACTGTATATATCTACAATCCTCTAATAATATTTTTTAAAATAAAATACATTAATAAACAATTATTTTTTTAATGAAACACATTATTACATATAATAAAATATAATCTATAAAATAAAATTACAATTAATTTCCAAGTTTTAAATGTTAAATTTTTAAAATTCTAACAAATGATAGAGAAACTTTTAAAATTAAAAATTCTCTTTATTTCTTTTTGAAGAATTTTGCCGAAGAATGTAATGACAGAAAAATTTTGGAAGCACTGAAATAAGAACACTAAGACGTAGATGCGTAGAAATACTAATTGCGTAGATACTTGATACTTACAGCGTCCATCCATTGTGAAGAATAAGCAGTCGAGCCGAATTAAATTCCTTATTTATTTAAATTCACATTTTGTGGCCACAGTTCACTTAGCATGTCCATTCGTGCCTATTTCCAGAACAATTTTGATACTGCTGTGATATAAACAATCATTGCAGAGCATAGATGATTGCAGCGAAGCGTCTTAACAGGAGGAAAGCATTAAGCCAGAAGAGAGTGAGTGTCGCAGTAGTAATGCAGAGGAAGAAGGGGGGAGGTAAAAGTTTCAGTTTTAAGTTTTTTTTTACAATTAGGTGATTGGTTAAGTCAGAGAGGATATAGTGAATTAAATTTAGAAGTTTGCTTTCATATTTTGTATCTTACATATAGTATATATTCACTCTGTTACCCGGCTCAACGATCTCAGTTTTGGTAAAAGTTTATAATTGGGTGCACCTTGTTTTTTGGCGATTCTTTTTTGACGCCAAGATCAGCGCCAAGACCAGGAAGGCACAATTTCAAGATAGCCGCTACACAAAAACAAGATAAGAAGTACACAAACTCTGTGTCCATGTACACATCGATCTGTTTTTACTTTAAAAAAGTCCTAGAATTGCACAAACTAGGCATTGGGCACTGCTTTAAATTTGTCCATGTACACATCAATTTATTTTCATTTAAATAAAATCAGGAAGCTAAAACAAAGTTAAAACTATAATGGTCAACAAAAGTGAGATTTCATCGCCAAAAATTTTTTTTTAAATGTCACTATTCGAAGGGGCACCCAATTCTACACTAAAGCTTCAGTTTCTTTACTCTTATTTGTAAGTTGTGCATTTTTTGCTTTAAAAATGGTTGAATTATCTTGTTCTTATCTTCTGGTTAAAGTTTTTATGCCTTTAATAAATCTGCATACAATATTTGTGGAATTATCAATAATTTAAAAGTTGTATAAGTGCAGCTAAGCTTAATTATTTTTGCGATGGCGGACATGATTGTTTACATTTAAAACTTGGCAAAATAGCGTATTTGTTGCCAATCTAGAGAAACTAAACTAAAAAATAAAGATAATGCTTTCTTTTATTCTTGCGAATTAAATCATGTTTAATCCATTTTCGAATTTATTCGAGAAAATAAGTGTTTAAGATTTACTTTGTAATTTTTAATATAGATATTTTTGAGATTTATGTATTTTTGTCGTATCGGGAAGTGACAACTGAATTATTTGAATGAGAAATACTGAATCATCTGTGAAAAACTTTTTTTTTTTTTCCTTAATTTCTTTTATATATCGTTTTAGATTTAGTATAGTATTTGAATAGAACATGTGGCAATGATTCGATAATTCTTCAAATGATATAAATTTATATGCATTCTGAGTTATAATATGAATGAAATGTAATGCTGTTAAGTGAACCTACCGCCAGAGTGTCGCTATGGTAAACAAATATAGTGAATTTTAAAAAATTGCATTTATTCTATTGTGGTTTATGCGCTATCAACGAAGTAGATTTAATTCAATCCCAATAAGTTTCAATGAAATGCAAGAAAAAATGCATATAATTTAATATTCCGTACAAGGAAGTCGTGGTGTACACATCAGTTTTTTTTTTTTTTTAGTCCAAAGGGATTTGAATCCCGAAGGACTATTAGTTTCGTTTTGGCATTTTGCGTCGGACGGATAAATGTCGGTTCACTTTTCAAACTGTTGCCATAAAATGTTAGAGTCCTGCATTATATTTGAAGAAATTAAATAATGAAAATCTGCGTAAATGTATGTATATTTCTCACATTGTCATAAAATAACGGTACATAGAGTCATCGAATTTTGAATAACGTAATCCTCCAATGAATATGAGCATGTGGAAGACCAAATTTGAAATTTGAAATTTGTTTTATGATCGATTTCCTATTTTTTAAAACTTTGACGAATTTTTGATTAACAAATGATATAAATTCCAAATGGTACTATCATTGGATTTCAAAGCGAGCAATGGCAACGTTGTGCAGAAAAAACATTTTTATCTCCAGCGCGTGAGTCTCTGTATCGGAAATTCTAAAGATATGCTCGTTTTAAAACTATTTTGCGATATTGCTGTTGCACTGGATCTTATGGTTTAAGTGCGAGGAACATGATATTTAATAAAGAAAGGTAACACACAAAATGTTAAAAAACGCCCCTTTGGACGTAATTTAAAATCTGAAACATTTCAGTTTTTTTTTTTTTTTTTTTTTTCTTTCTTTAAAATGAAGAGTAAAGTAGTTATTCTAATCTATTGCAATATTATGGCTGATTTCTAACTGAAGTTAACAAAATTCAGTCCGTGTCAGTTCTTGATACCACAGACGGATAAAACGAATGGCACTGAGGAAAGGAAGATGTGAGTCTTCAAACCATGTTTTGATTCTCAATCTTTTTTTCCCACAGCAAGAACATACATAATACCATATAGGAGCTTTGTTCTAGTCAAAAGTTAATTTCATCAGATGGTTTTGAGAACAAAGGGCCCACCAGCGGCCGAGCGGTAAAGACGCTGAACACTGGTAGCTCGGTCCGAGGTTGGAATCCCGCGAACGGGCTGGCTGCATGGGTGTTTTCGTGGTTTTCCCCATGTGTAACGTGTATATGAGCCAGTTTCCCTTATAAAGTCCTCCACGAAGGCATCTCTCCCTTTAGGCAGATAGCCCTCATGTGCTTTGCTGAGTAATCCTAATCCTTGAGAACAAAGTCTATTGCTATGAATTATTCCTTTGTCCTGAAAGAATCTTATGACAGCAATTTCGTCTTTAGGTAATTGCCAAATTGTGTAATCCATCGTCTTCAATATAATGGCAAAGTATGGCAAAAAAATAACGAGTGATGATATTTGAAAGGAGAACTAGAAATCTCAATCCACAATATCTGGTGTGTTGTTGTAGCATTGTTTTTTTCTAATTTTTTCTTCATTTTTAACTGATGCTGCTCTAATGGAATAGTACCAAATTTTCTGTACATGAAAAAATAGTGTTTTTTGTTTTTTTAACAATACTTTTCGATTATGCACCAATAAAATATGCATGTTTAATTATTCTTGTTTATATACACGCACATATGTACATAATTTCCAGATGGTACTATCATTGGATAACATATTTGGCATATCTTTCACAGGGACCAAAAATTATGGCAGGTGCATAGTGGAAAAGTAATTTTTCAACGTTATAGTCTGAAAATATGCTGAAATGCATTAAATAAATTACCCTTGTAGAGTAGTAGAACTTCTAAATAGGATCCACTTTTTTCAGTAATTTCCTTCCTAATAAGAATTACAGAAATTTCCCATGTCCTTCAAAATTAAACATTATTTTCAGTAATATGTGTTACTGAACTGTGAACACTTAGCAGTGATTTTCTTCTACAGGATGGCAAGATAATTTAATTTTTTAGATTTTCAAATGGTGTATTTATTAAAATGTATTTCAGACATGAAAAGAAAGGTAAGTATGTTAAGAGTTTAGAAATCCAGTCTGGTTACAGATTTAAGAAAGTCTAGATTTTTCTAAATTCTTTGTCATACCTTTGAAGATTCATATCAGCAGAAGAGAGGCAAAAGGGTTAAAAAGGAAAAAAAAAATGTTATTTAATTTTTGCTGCAAAATACATTAATATGTTGTAGGAATCGGTCACAAAATATTTTAAATAAAAAAGCTGAAAATAAGTCTTTCATTTTAGCAGCTTAATGGCATCTGGTACTTTCTATAACTTTATGCAGTTTAGCTGATTAATGTGTTTTAAATTATGAAAAATAAAGTTGACAAAATATTTCATCAGAATTCTGCAGAAATTTCACGATTGAGGTGTATGGGAGATTCCTGTTTTAAGTAATTGGATTTTCCAGACTGCTGTTTTTAGGCTTTTAGTTTCCAAGATTTTATTGGAGTGTTGTATTATTCTCTTCCTAATATTGTTGTCAAGAAGCCAATATACCAGTTAGTTCTCAAAATACTATATTACTCACTTGTGTGTGCTATGTATAGATTCAGTAATTTTGATATTGTCAAATCAAAATGATATCCATTATACAGTCAAAAGTTGTTAATCCGGACTCGTCGGGACTTTGGCGATTCCGGATTATAGACCATCAGTTTAAATCTGGTAGGATGGCATGCAGAAATTACAAAATTAAAAATATGAAACCGTAATTTATGAAATAAAGAACAATTATGATCTAAAGGGTATCAAAATTTACAAAAAGAAAAAGCTTGATATTTATTTATTTTATTAAACATTTCTTTCAATGTAAGTTGTTTAAGTTGCTTCGTTTCATGTGATAATACTTTCTTTTTAATTCTATTAAACAGACAAAATTTCTTGTTTAGTTACAAAGTTCCGCTGTTCAAGTCCTATAGTCCTAATAATTGCAAGAATACCGACTAATTTGTCAATCAAAATTTTTTCGTTTTCAATAACCTCTGTGTCACTTTCTTCACTATCGGAAGCAAATTATAATGACGAGGAACTTGATTTAAATCATATCAAAGACGGAGTACATCGAGATGAAATACTACATTTAGCAAGGAATTATAAGCCAAATAAAATAAAAACATCTGCCCTAAAGATAACGATAGTGCTGACAGATCAACTTCCAATTCATTGCGCACCGCGCTGCGTCGTTTCCCTCCTCCCGCAGAGCAGCGTGAAATTGATAAACATATTTCAGAATGATTAGATAATCAAAGGATATGTCTTTATCCATTTTTTGCAGCAATTCCACTTTCTGTTTAATGGACTTCGAAACATACTTTCGCTTTGTAGATCCTTTACATATTAGTAAATATATATATCGGAAATTCTATTTGACATAATCGAAAGCTCAAGCTTACTTTTATAAAATTGCTCTAAAAGTCTGCAAAAAATAATAAGCCGGATCCAACCCGAAGATTAAGGAACAACGCAATCTGCAACATTAACTGAATTAGATAATTTTAGCTTAGCTTATACCGTTCGTTATACATTAAATGAGCATTCGTAAACGTATTATGCGCATATGCATATTCGCAGCCGTAAGTGTGTTACGCGCACGCGTAAACGCCTATGCGCATGTGTCAAAGCGACTCAAAGTTTGTAGCTTTGAGGTCCGGATTATGGGTGTCTGAATTAACGACTTTTGACTGTATAAAAGTCAACGGCCATACCATGCTGTAAGTACCGGTTCTCGTCCAGTCCATTGCATAAAAGACTATGCTATAGCCATTACTGAATATTATGGTAAGCACATGAAATATTTTAATAGTGTCTTTTGTCAGCCATTGAAATAAGTTGTATATATTAATGTATATTGTTACATTTGTATGCATGTAAATGCGGATGAAAAAATAATTTAGCTAGTTAAAGCTGAATTATTTATGTATGATTGAAATATTTATATGATTTTCAAAATATCTATATAGTATATTCACTGCATAAACAGTAGTAATTCATATGTTACAGAGGAAGAAGATGATTTGTTACTTGATGAAATTGCAATGCCAGAAGGCAAAATAGGTGCTAAAAAAAGGAAGAAACTTGAGTTAAAAGCAGAGAAACGCAAAGAAAGAGAAGTAATGTACTATTATGTGCTTTATTATTTAATTTATTGCAGTAATTGTTAGATTTTTACATGATGTTTTAAAAATTAATTTGGTGCTTATTAACTTATATTTATTGTTGACAATAATTTGCCTACAGTTGTTTAGTCAAATTATCACCAAATTTTGTCAATCATGTTGAATAACATTTAAGCATTAGTAATTTCCATATCTTTGTATACTTTTCATGTCAACATATTGGAGTAGAAATGTAATTCATATGAAAGTTTGTGAAGAAAGTATCCAACTGCAGTCCATCACTATACATATAATATTTTTTTTTACAGAATGATGAGCAAAACCATGTAAAATGATACTCATATAAGTATGATTTAGTATTTGTTGTTTATTTCATTTAGATTTCTAGATGTGATGCATTCAGCAAATAGTATTTCATTTAATTTACCAAATCTAACACAATTTCTTTTTTCCCTAATGAGCTGAGTAATGTTTTTAAATAAATTTTTAGTTATTATTTGTTAGTTCTTGTATTTTATTTAGTATGTGCTTTGATTACAGGATATAGATGAATTGATCATATCAAAGCCCTTTTCAGAGTTATTTATTTATCTTGATAAATTAGTTAGTTTTGATAAGTTAATTAGTAAATTAGCAACTCTTATTACTTGGCAGCATAAATAAGTTTCCGAACATATGCGTATCACTGAATTTCTAATCATCCATGTTATGTGTGCATAGTTCTTTCCACATAAAATGATAAATGTATATATCTTTGATATTGATATAGTGAAAGATTAAAAACTTATGAATTTTAGGAAGAAATTCTTGTTTGATACAATGAATCTGATTTTAAAGCTTGAAATGAAACTAAAAGTTAGATACTAATTTATACCTGAAAAAAAGTTATATTTGTTATTGTAAAGGAAGAAAGTTCTATTGATGAAGATGTGTCTGGGCATTGTGGTTTCCATAATGTGAGTTAATGTAAAAAAATGCTCATCTTTGTTATACATTTTGCATCTTTGCTAGGGCCTGATTTCTGAGAGAAAAATGGGACATGTGCTCTGTGCCTTTAGATTCTCCTTTATCATTTAAAATATGAATTATTAAGATATTAAGAATGATTTTAGAGTTTTTAAAAATACAAACTTGGAAACTGGAGTAAAATGTTAAACTGCATATTTGAATGCCTCTCATGATACTGAACTTTTGAAATTATTGAGAAATACTTTATTTTTTATTTTATTTTGCTTTTATTTTTTTATATATTTCAAATTATATATTATTAAATTATAACTTATATGAATGAGAAATTTAAAAATGAATTTTTAAGAAAAAGATCAGTATATAAATAATATAGATCCATCAAGAGAAATAATTGTTTCATGTTTGAAAGAAATTGAATTTTTTTAATTCTATATATCATATTATAGCTGCTTAATTTGATTAAGGTATATAGCAAAATCAGTAAGAATTCTTTAGGCTTTTCTCCCCCCCCCTCAGTGTTTTTAGTTTCTTTTAGAAAATTAAGATTCTAGTTTAAAAGTGTGCAAGTTTATATTTTATATGACACTTACTAAAATTATAAAAATGCCAAAAAAAAAGTTAATTTTTTTAATTTTGAAAAAAAAAAAATATTGAAATTACTTTGCAAAATGCTCTTATATCAAATATACATTACATAAAATAAAATTTGCACCAGTGACATGGATTATGTTGAAAAAAATATAAAGAGAGAGATGTCTCAGGCATCAGGTTTTGTAAATCAGAACCTGCCTGTGCTGAAACAAAATATGTGAATATTTGGATACAATAATTGAAAAGGTAGCTGGAAGCGAAGATGAAGGGGAATAAAAAAAAAATTAGCATGGTGAGACACTAAATGTGCAAACACTGTAAGTCCAGGTTTGAAAATTGAAAATGCGAACATGTTGTATAAAAAGCTGTCAGAAACCATAAAACATAAATAAAACAATAAGAAGCAATTTAAACTAAATATATTATTAATAGTATGTACTTAGTTATTAAACTTTAATGAGTATAACATGGAAATTAAATAATATAATTAATGGAAAATGAGTAACATGATAATAGCAAAACATAGTGCCTGGGTTAAAAGAAAAATGAATATTTTGAAAATTATTTCAATTCGTATGTGTCTGCAATGTGTATTTTACATCAAAATACTTTGGAAAAATTTAATTTATTTATTTTACAAATGCCAAACATTAGCACTTAAGCCATTAGTTCACGGGCTCTCAAACTACGTTTTAAATGCCCCTTGGCGATTTTTGGAATCCATGTATGCATCGACCTATTTTCACTTCAAAAAACATCACAGAATTGCACAAACTTGGCATTCCGTACTCCCTTGACTTTGTCCATGTACAGATCAATCTATTTTAGCTCAAAACATCAAAGGAGCAGCCAGTTCTACACTAAAGCCAAATAAAAAATATATGATCTCAATAAACTACATTTTAAATCAAATAATGAAATAACATAAAAAAGGAAATTCATCTTAGCACTTACACAAAGGAAATACCCACTTACCTAATTTAGAAATTTCTATGCCTTCAGTCAAACAAAATTCCTTAACAGCATCCAAAAACCTCCCTAAAATTATACGAACTAGAATCTGTATACTGGCATCGCCACATAAATTCATAAAAATAACAGTAAAAAATATCCTCCGTAGTGCTGGTATCCTCCGATGTTCAACCATACACATTTCCTTCATACAAACAGGATACTTATAATGGCTACTAAGTAAACCTTCATTTATACACTAGTGAATTAATGCTTTTTTCCCTTTCTTTCCAAATCGTACAGAAATTCAAATTAATCTTACCACATTCAGCCGTTTTACCATGTAAATCACAAAATAACCAACATCCAACACACAAACATACTTACAAATCTTTTCCCATCCTTGAAATTAACCGTAATCACGCAACCAATTATGTCATACTTGGATTTCCATAACATTCAACTACACAGGTTACCATGGCGATAAATGAAACAACAACTTGGCGATAATCCAAGGGGCACCCTTAAATATACTGTAACTTTATTTAAATCTTCAAAAATCATAGGCTGATTGGAGTCTCACAAAATACAGTTTGGAGAATCCACCACTCCATTTCTGCAGAGGTGGTCTTGAGGTGATCTTTTGTAAAATGTTTCCTATTGACACTTTTATATAGTTTTAGATATTACTTAAAGAAATAATTTTCTAGTTTGTTTAATTATATGAATGAAGTAAAATTGTTTGTATTTTATTTATTTATTTATTCTTTGGCTGCTAAGTTAAACTATTTTTATTTCACAGAGGGAATTAGAAGAAAGAGAGGAGAGAAAACAAAGACAAAAATTGTTGGATGAACAAAGGAAAAAAGAAGAATTAAAAGAAAAAGAGGAAGAACGCCGTAAGGTATGAGTGTAATTTTATTAAGTGTTTAAAATAGTTATTGTATATACTATATCATCATTTTGTTGAAATAACATTATTTTTAAAATTAATATAACAGTGCATGCTGATTAATTATAAAACTGAAGAAAGTAATAAAACTTATAATACATTTTGATTTATTTTCCCCCAAACACTTTTGTAATTCTAAGACTTTAAATCTGCTTCTTATAAATAATGTTCATATTCAGTGAAATACAAGTCATCTCAGTTTTTGTGCAGAAATATTTTCAAGCATAAAATGCTTTCAAATCTGTAAAAAATTACTAAATTTCTTGTCAATAGAAGATACATTTCGGGTTTGACATTTGTAAGTCAAACGTTTTATTTAACAGGTGAGCACTTCCTAGTTGAGCATTTGTCAGAAATACAGCCAAACAAATTGATTATTTAGTATATCATCATCAAGAATACTGTCCATAAATCGACTGATATTATCTGCACTAGGAGCAACATACATACAGTGCACACAGTCTTTGTTTCAGGCTACGGAGTCAGCTTTATCAAACCATCATACTATCCAGAGCAGCATTGTATAAAGACTGAGGGGAGTATGGGGGGGACTGAATAATCAAACATTCAGTTTATCAAGAAAACTTAATGTTAACTGTGAATTCTGTATTTTGTCATTCAGATCAACTTATCCAACATTTTAACTTATCAGATTTATCGTCAACTATAATTTCCACATTAAATTTTCTGGAAATAGAAATTTTGTTTGTTTGCATCTGTAAGTGAGCACATGTTACAGGTACTTGCAGATTATCAGAATTATATGGGAATCAGAATTACATCCACGAAGCAATCACTTCCCAAATTCTTGAAAAAATTTGAAGAATTTTTATGTTGCAAATCTTGGTAAGAAGTACATTTTTAAATTTAACAGATAAACAGAATAAACTTGTTTGAAAATTTATGAAAATTTAACACTTGTTTTTAGCAGTTGATATAAAATAAAATGAAAGATTCCATTAAAATAGGATTTAAAACCTGTCTGGAGCAGAACTGCAGTACAGTGCTTCTGATGATTTTCATTTAGTGTTTTTCATTGTTCAAGAGCAAAAAGATAAAAGCATTTTATCATTTCCTAGAAAATGATTGTACCAATAACTCTTGCTCTTCAATCTGAAATTGACATTTATAGCATAAGAATGTTTGTCAGGTATCCTTTTGTGGCATTCTTATGAGCTACAACTCATATTGACCCAAATTAAATCCACGATTGAATGTTCATTTGGTGCTGTTTCACAAGCACAAATTTTCATACATTTATTTGTAATAAATGATAAAGTTTTAGCTTCATTTTAGAAAACTGACATTTTTTGCTTCCATTGAATAAAAGCTATGAATAAAGTAATTAGAATAAATAGGCTTACTTAGATATTTTCCTTCCATATATGAGTTTAATATATGTTTTCTTAACCATGCATTGATGAAACTGCTTGATGAAGCATTTTTCCATAGCCATCTTTATAATTTTAATCTTCATTTCCTGTCTGGAAGATGTAGATTGGATTATTTGTTAAGGAAGAGCACTTAGAAAGGGAAGGGTTAATTTTGTCTAATTTTCTAAACAATAAATTAATATATAAAATCGCAAATTTTTAATGAAAATTCTAAAATTTGTTATCAGTTTTTCTTATAAAATTACATTAGCTTGTAGGGATTTATATTTATTTTAACTAACAAGTTAAAATTTAATTTTAAACACTTTCATTCCCCTAATTGTCAGTGCCAGAATATTTAAATTTTGTAGCACGCATGAAGGAATGCAAATTTCTGCTTTGCAGGAAGTATTTAAAAGCCGAGTTTCGGTAGGAGAAAAGAGGGAGTTAGGCTATAACCGCCTCCTCTGCCATAGATACGCTTGCTTATTGCTGGTTCAAGTGGCTTAATTGCATTTACTTGCTGCCACTGGTTTCAAAAAGGGTTTAAGTTGTGGGATCTCGCTGAGCCCTGTAGTCTAGTTCTATTGTTTGTTAATATCTTCAAATTTTAGTTTCATTACTTGATTTTCAGTTATCGCCCAAGCAGAGGCAAAGTTTATTAGCTACGAGTTTGATGCATTGTAAATTTTCAAAGATTTAATAAAGGGTACTTTAAGCCATCCCTTGTGTAGTTGGCCCACCAGCGGCCGAGCACTAAAGACGCTGAACACTGGTAGTTCGGTCCGAGGTTCAAATCCTGCGAACGGGCTGTCTTCATGGGCGTTTTCGTGGTTTTCCCCGTGTGTAACGTGTATACGAGCTAGTTTCCCTTTTAAAGTCCTCCAGTCCATTTAGGCTATCTGCCTAAAAGGCATCCCTCCCTTTAGGCAGATAGCCCTCGTGTGCTTTGCCATAATTAAGATAGTCCAAGTCCTTTGTGTAGTTTCCTGCTACTCCAGTTTTCATACTGAAGTTTATCTACTGGATTCTACAGGCTTATCAATAAAAATTAGTGAAAAATACAGTGTAGATTATATTAAATTTTTTTTTATTGCAATCAAGTTTGTAAAATGACGTGGCTAAAAATAAACTATTATTGAGGGGAAAAGGCAAGTTTATGCCAAAGAGTCATTCCATTGATCAGTTAGCAACAATTACACCAAATGAAAACAGTAAGAATTTGTATTATACACTGAATTGAAATGTAGTAGTTTCTTAAAGTACATAGGCATATTGTTATTTACTTTATTATTACATTTTTCATAATAAAGTATTTGTATAAAGAAATTTAAAGAATTGAGAAGAACTCGGAACCTATTTTATTATCTGTTTATAGATCTCAAATTGTTTTATTAGGAAGAAGAGGAGAAAGCATTGAAAGAAGAAGAGGAAAAAAGAGAACTTGAAGAATATTTAAAACTAAAGGAAACTTTTGCTGTTGAAGAAGAAGGTTTTGATCAGGAAGAAAATCAAGAAGAAGTAAGCTTTGTATTTCCTATCAAAAATTTTAATTTTTGCATATTTTAGGTTTACATTCCAAGTTGTAATATTTGATTTTAATTTTTTTTAACTGCCAGATAAATGAATTTATGTAATAAAATATTTTAGCGCTTAAGTATTACCCTGTCAACCATGAAAGATGGCTACCATTGAACTATGAAAGTTGGCAAAGATTCTGCCAAAACTTTGCTATCATTCCTGCAGAATGCTGATGGAAATTACGACTATTTATTTAATAAACAATCAGTATTCAAGTAGCTACATTTTTGCATTTCGTAAAATGTCTTCTGTCAATTTCTCCAATTTTGTGGCTATGATTACGAACTTCCTACCAGTAATTGTTGCAATCTGTTAATGTTTTAGTGATCCTAGTCAGTTGACCATATTGTGTCCATTGATGCACACTTTTTTTTTTTTTAATTGAGCATCAGTTAGGGTTACCTCAAACAAAAGCACAGGTGTTATAAATGTGTTGTTGCATTACATGTATGCATAATTGGCATTAAATTGTGCTGCTTGGTGACAGTTATTCAGTCAATGGGATAATACGTATGATATATTCCACTGTATAATGTGTACTTTTAATACAAAAAAAAAAAAAAAAAAAAAAATAGATTGAAATTTACAATTGCTTGTTATATGCAGGATATAAAAATTTATTTAAAAATAAGAAAAAGATGAACATACAAAAATTAGATTTCTACATGCATTAAATGCTGTTTGCTTAAAAGAAATGACATGCCTTAAAAATTTTCATTATCAAATAGCATGAAAAGTTTGTGATATTTATATTCATTATATCTTCATGTGCATCATGAAATTTATTTAATCTTCACCATCACTATTATTCTGATCCATAAATAAATATTCATCTTCCATTCCATGTAGATTGATAGATGTACTGCATTTTTTAATGACTTTTGAATTATGTCAGATTTAATTTCATTCCATGCTTTTATTACCCACTCGCACATTATTTCGAGACTGGCATGATGCATTTAGCTTCTAGACTGGCATGATGCAATTAGTAAATGTTTTTTCACCTTCTAGCGTTCACATATTACTGTATTGTTTTAAATTTTCTTTGTATGTTTTATTGATATGTGCATCTAAAAGCTGTACTGATGGTAACAATCTGCCTGGAATAACTGCCATGTCTGTATTATACTCTTTCAACAGTTTCTTCATACTCTTTCAACAGTTTCTTCATATTATCCATTAGATCCATCTGGACATGTCCCAAATTAAACGACTGGAATTTTTAAAGCAACAAGATGCTCTTGCCAATCATTTCTCATCCACAATTTCACACCGTTTTCATCCTTCCGTCGTTTCTCATGAATATGAAAGAGAATAAATAACATTTGGGAAATTACATTTCAGGATAATCTTTCTTTTAAAAATAACCATGGCCTTTAATTTTATACTGTTCACTACTGTGGGGTAAAATATTTTGTGACCTGTTGTTTTACATGAACCATTTTCATTTCTTTCACATAATTTTTTCTATTATATCAAACATTACTGGAGTTTCTTGCATATTTCCAGTATGTGACAGTGAAGGATATTTTGGCCTTTATAGGGCAGTAACATACTTCTGGAAACTTATCAATTTGTTACACAAATCTTTGGGAAACTTTTGTGAAACTTGTCTTTTTTCACATCAAACTAAATAATTCCTTGCTATTATTCAACCACACCAACTCAAAGTTGCTTTTAACTTTTTATTTTCCTCCCCCCCCCACTTAAAGGCAAATAAACTTACGGTGTTTCTTGTCACAATTAATCGATTCTCCTTGATTTTTTAGAACCAAATTCCCAACATTTTCTTGTAGGATAGGCCATTTTGTTCTCCTTTATGTAAAGCACATTTATTCTTTGCCATATTAATTACTGTGATTTAATTTTTCTTGCATTCGCATGTAGAGCTTTCACCAGCACCAAACATCCTTGCTGCAACACAATTTCCATTTTCTTTTCCAAATTTAATGACCTTGCATTTGAAACCAGCACTGGCAGGAGAATGTTTTCTTTGGCAGGAGAATGTTTGTTCAAAAGACTGGAAAAAAATCTTCGAATGAATGCCTTCAAAAGATAAGAGCATCACACATGTATCTTTATAAAGAAAAGGATGTATGTTATATAACAAATAGTCTTAATTTTTTTTTTTAATTGTTTGAAATTATAGGTAAGCATTATGCATCAGAATATACAATAATTACCAATATTTTAAATTTCATATGCAGTTTGTTATTTAAAATTATGTTAAAATATCCATACATTAAAAATATATGTAATAATTTGCCATAAAGTTGTAGAAAATTTTAAATTTTGTATTATAATCCATCCGGTCTAAATGAAAATCTGATGAATTTTATCCCGTTTCTTTAGAGTAGATATTTAGTGAGGTTATTTTCTTTTTTAATTTTTCCTTAATTTTAGTAAAATTATAGATTAAATAATTGAGCATTTGAACCAAAAATAAACATGAAGTATTTATTTGCTCTGATTATGAACTTGATTGGCTTAATAACATACAAGTGTATTTAAATATGTATCTTTTTAGAAAAGTCATTTTCAGGAGCAGTTAGACTTCATTGTTATAGGCAAATACTAAAATACCTGTTAAGCTGTGATTTTTTTTTATCCATGTTCAGCTCTTCAATCTACATTTCCAGTGTCTCTAAATTTTTTCCTATCAACGTAGTAATAGCTTTTTCTGGAAACATTCTGTTACCTAATTGCTGCAAAAATGCTTTCAAATAATTCTCCAAAGCTGCAATAGCTTTGAATTGATCAACAGTGAAAATAGTACATGAATTACAAAATTGTAGAATTCCACAATTTTTTCAAAATGCATGCAGTATTATTAGTATTATTAGATTATTATTCTAATTTGTTGGCCTGGAAAGGTTTGATTAAAGTTGATTTTTGGTAAATTCACTTTTATTATCATATGCACAATTATAGATTTAATATATGTAGCAGATGAGAAATAAAGGCAAAATTTTATGTCCAACAAAGTACTTCATTCCAAAGTAAGCTAATTTTTACTACCTAGCTTCTTAGTGAAGATGTAAAGTTTTCTTTCAGTAGTGAACGTTCAGAACTCGCACTGATGCCTGTTATAAACTTCCATTTAAAAACAAGCAAAAAAAAAGTCTGTTGTAGCTATTTAACTTGTCTATTACTGATTAATAAACTTAAATTATTTTAAAACGGTAGATGTAGTTTTTAGAGGGTTTTCTTTTTACTTTTTTAATCTGATGTAACTAAAAATACATTTAATTCGTGATATAGTTCGAATTATGTATTTTTTCACTTTTCAAATATACAGATAATACATTACCATGTTAATCTAAATGTATATTATATAGTTTCTTGAAAATGTTTTGCTATTCCATTTGAGCCATCTCTATTAATAACTCCACTAATAACCCAATTAAACTGTAAAAGATCCCTTTGGATGATCATTATAATCTGAAACCTTTCAGTTCCCATGGTGTTTATTTCAAATATGTAATATGTATTTTCCATTTTTATAGCAAATTTTTGATATCTATTGCTTAGGATGGTTTTTTTTACTGAAAACTTTGATTTTTTTGTGTGTGTGTGTGTGTGTGTGTGTGCGCGCGCGCGTGCGTGCTTGCGTGCGTGCGTAGAGAGAGTGAGTGAATGAGTGAGTGAAGGAAGAGGGGCCTAGCCAGAAGAAGCAGCATTAATTTAGTATATGAATATATATATATGTGGCTTGTTATCAGTTTATGGGATAATGAAATGGTAAAAATTTTATGTTAAAGGAAATAACATCATTCGAATTTACAAAATTGAAGCAGTTTTATACACTGCCCCCTTCTAATAATAATCCATGTTATCAAATCAGTGGAAAATGCAGCTGTGTTCTGTAAAAGAAGCAGAGACAAAACTGTCTGTATAGTGCTTTTATTTTATTTTTAAGTTGTGATTTATGGGGAAGAAAAAAATCTTAAGATTGTATCTGCTATTTGCTATTATTTTTAGATGAAATAATTTGCTTATTATTATGAGGTAACAAAATTTATGTTTTGAATTTTATGAATCAGCTATGAGATAAATTCTTTGAAAAGTGTTTTATTAATCAAAATCTGCATATGTGTTAAGAAAAGTTTTACCTATAATTAATAATGTGAGAGTGAAAATGCATTCTAAGCAAAGTCTCTGCAGGAGAAAAAATGTATAGACTGCTATATTCTGTGTAAATGCATATGCACAGTATAACACTGAAAGATGAAACTTTACATAACAGAAAGTAGCACTGGTTTTATAACTTCATGATTATTATATAAATGTTTCTAATGAACATCTAAAAAAAACTATTAATTTCTAAAATTCAGTAAACATGTTGTGACCATTTCTAAAGACAGTATGCAGCAATTGATTAAAAATTAGATGTTTCATCTTCGGTTGTAGTTAAAAAATTTTTAATGGATTTTAGTCTTTTCTTCACATAATTATAATATTTTTAATTTAAAAAAATTCTTTGAATTTAGGAAAAGATAGCTCTTTTTGGATCTAAGAAAGAGATTTTGTATTTAACTATATTTTGCATTCTTTCTGCTAAAGAAATCAAGCACTTTATAAACTTCCATCTCTGAAAATTTTCTAAGAATTAATATGCATTGTGCATTATTATGTTGTGCTGCATTTCAGACATTTTTTCACAATGAAAAAATGGACTGGAAACTCTTTAACCCTTTGTGGCACATTGTGTCTGGTCTGGACACACCTAAAAATTTCCTTCTGTATGCATAGAAAAATTGAATAAAAAAGGATTTATAAGTTACTATAGGTTATTTTGAACCTTCTTTATTTATAGTAAATGCTCAACACAAACCAGTCCATATATTTTAGCAATGTTTAGTTTTTTAAGACCCTCATTCTTCAAAGAAATCTTCCAGATTTTTTTAGGGTATAAAAGGAATTGTTTGAAAAGAAATTTCTATGTTATTTTTTTGGCTGTATGCTAATCTCCTTATTCTATATTTGTTTTAAATTTTTACCTTGAAATCTTGCCTAAAATCAAACGACGAACCCTATGTGTGCCCAGGGCGGGCTCACCTATAATTTAGGACAACTGAGAGTCTGTATTCTTTGTTTCGTCGCATCTCATCGGTAAGTTCATTGACAACAATGCTCGTTTCAGCACTCTTTTCGAAGCTCTATTCAATCAGTGTGCCACTTAGGGCTCACCCACAGCATTAAAACAATAAGTGCTATCTTAACAAAATTTTACTTATGTACTCCTCTAGGCCTAATTAGACTGCCTACCTCTTTTTTTTTTTTAAATCAAAACTCCGACTTTAAAAGGTAGGGTGCCATAAAGTGTTAAATAAGATTATTTTAAAGAACCGTGATACAGATTTTCTGGGAATGCAATGTGGAATGTTAAGAGCAAAGAAAACCCCTTTTTGTTTGTTTGTTTGTGTATATGCACACATGCATGCACATTTGATAAATAAAATTACAAAAATTAATTTTTTTAAAGGTGTACTGTCCCCTTCTTCTCAAAGTCACTTAAGTTATGTTGCATTCATTTATTTTTCTTTATCTGTTCAAATCACAAATTTAAACATCTTGCTTTAATTTACTTGTAACTGATGCACAGTAATGAGCAGTGATTTAGTCTTCTTTACTTTTTCATTTCAAATTCTGCTTTGTGTGTGCAGAAAGCTAAGTCTAAGATTTCGCTGATGATGAAAACTACAAGACAAAATCCTCCATTATACTGAAATGCTGAAATTGCCATAGGAAGGATTATAAGAGGATTCACAGTGGGAAAAATGGAAAGCCAGTTGGGGTATGCTACACTCATATCTGGGTTGCTACTTAAATACTTTAAGGCAGCATGTTGCCACTTAAATATTTTAGGGCAGCGTGGTATGTTGCCTGATCAGTACTATTTCACAGCTTTCAAAGAGCGTGCAGACAAGTACCTATTTATTATCTTGATATGTATATTCGAGTGCAATTTGTATCCCTCTTTAAATCTTAATTTTGTCATTTGTAGCCATGTATTTTGAGACAATCTCCCAACCACATGCAGTAAAAGTCCTTTAAATTTGAGTTTCTTTGGTTTGAACATTAAGCTTATGATTATGTTCTTTATGTGTAGATTTTACTTATATGTTTGCAGTTTGTTAAATATGTTGGTCAGTTAAGTGTTTATGTTTAAAAAAATGTAATTTTGGTTAATTTTTTATGAAAGTAATATAATTGTGGCATTGCTGTTGCACTGAAATTGTTGTTATGAAAGGTAGTAACTTCTAGTTAGATGAGAGAAGGATATTTATTTTCAAATTCTTTGGTTAGAATTCTTTCACCTGTGTGTCAGCACTTAGTTCTGTGATATAAATGAATCATGGAATTTAACTTCAAATAAATTTTTGAGCTGATCTTGGCTAGAGTTTCATTTCTGTTTGGCAAGAAAACTACCATATCTTGTTAAAACCTTGCCACGTGTGAAATTAACACTTGAAATTGCAACAGAATTCAAAATACCTTCTTGGGTACGAGTTGAGAAATTTTTATATTTATTCTTGCTAATTATAGCCATAACCCATTATTCACAGTTGGTAATTTTAATAACTGAAATTATGTTTACCTGAGTGAGGTTTCACTGAACATCTTGGAAATATACATGTAATTCAGTGCCAAATTGTTTTCACATTATTAAACACAATCTTTCTTCTCATTTTGTTCTTTCAACTTTTATGCATAGATTATTAATGTGTATAATTAAGATACTGTTTTTATGTTTAATTTTGCAGAGCATTAGATAGAAGGGTGTATCATTATTGTAAAATTTCTTTGTAAAGTTGAAGTTTCTTTAATAAATGATGAATTCACTTCTCAATAATAATTCATCATTATTCTTTTTTTATAAGGAAAAACTATTTTCATTTGAGAAAGTGTTGTAAAATTTATTCATTTATTTATTTATTTATTTATTTATTTATTTATTTATTTATTTTTTTTTTTTTTTTTTTAATTTCAGGGAAACAAATTTCAAGAATTTATTGATCACATTAAAGTAAGTTATTTTTATGACTGTTTTTCATACTGTAATTTAAAACTTCTTTTCTTTAATCTCAAAACGGGATTCAGCAGCATATCACTTTTCATTTCATATTGTTGCCATAAAATATTATCACCCTATATTACTTTTAAAGAGATTAAAATCTCTGTGAATGTTTCTTGCAGTGTGAAAAAATGACTGTATACATAGAGCCATCAAATTTTGAATAATGTAGTCCTGCACTCAAACATGTGCACCCAGAAGCCTAAATTTAAAATTTTATATTATTAAGTATTAATATTTCATAAAACTTAGTGAATTTGTAATAAAATCGATAATTTGAAAGCGAGCAGTGGCAACACTGTACAAATTAAAAATTGTTATCTCCAGTGTGCTAGATTTTATATCAGAAACTCTAAAGATATTCTGTTTTTAAATACTTTTTGATTTTGCTATTCAGTTGAATTTTATGTGGTATAAGTGTGAAGAACATGATATTTATTTAATAAATTGAATACACAAAACATTAATAATGATAAAAAAAAGTTTTGCAAGCATTTCGTAAGTATGAAGAAAATTATGCTATATAATAAAGCTAAAAGACAAAAAGAAATGGGTTAGTAGGAAACCCATTTACTACCATACTAACAATACATCATACTAACCCTCCTACCAGTCTAAGGAGAGTGCGAGCTCAGCAAGAGCGTCGAAAAACCTTAACAAACCCTTTTGGGTGACTGCTAAAATCTGGCCATTTGAAATTTTTTTCTTTCCGTCTCCCCCCCCCCATAGCTTATTATGTATTTTAATTTATGTAGTGAAATATTTTATACAAAAACTGCTGTTTTGCTAATAAAATGCAAACTTTATTTCAAAACGTTGTACTATTCTTCATATTTATCGTTATAAATTTTTAATTATGTCATTATTTGTTTTACTAATTTGTATTTTATGAAGAATTTTTCAGAAAATAAAATTTAATAATATTGATGGATGATTGGGATCTGGATATAGCTGGAATTCCAGTTTTTTTTCAGATTCTCAGTTTGTGGAGTAGAAATTTCGTATCTTTCAAATTGGAAGAAAAACACTTAAGTGTAAGATTTTAGGCAGAAAAGCAAGCTTAAAGATCTTACATAAAATTTTATCAATTATAAGAGCAATCAAATACAAAAAGGTTTAATTTTTTTTTTCTTTTGCTCCTGAAGAATGAAGACCTGTATCTGACTGCCTATGAAATTGATAGAGTTTTATTTAAAATATGTGCCAAACTAAGTCTTCCTGTCTAATTTTAAGACATTATCTGAATAAATATATCATTCAGAGATAACAAAACTTTTAGGCTTTGGATCATAAAATCCTCCTCAAGACTCTGTTTCTATAGATTTTAAGGATAATTTATTGAATAGCTGGATAGCTTACCAAATTCTTTACATTCTTTGATGCATTCTCTTCTTGATAGCAGTTTCTCATCATTAGCGCCTTTTTGATATGCATACTTCAAGTTCTAATCTGTTGCTTGAAGAATTAAGTAAGAAGCCATTATCTACACTTAAATGTCTTCTTGGTTATAATAAATTTTTAGCTGTAGCAGTGAAAAATATAAATACAATTTCTAGAACTTAAAAGCAAGCTAAATGTAGGTTTTTATTTAGCCCAAAAGGGCAATTTGCCCAGAAGGACTATTAATTTTGTTTTGGCATTTTGCATTGGTTTATAAATGGTGTTTCACTTTTCAAATTGTTGCCACCAAATATTAGAGCTCTGCATTATATTTAAATAAATTAAATAATAAAGAATGCATGAATATTTCTTGCACTATGAGAAAACAAGGATACCTGTAGACATCAAATTTTGAATAACGTAATCCTCCACTCAAATATGAGCATCTTGGAACCCAAATTTGGTATTGGTTATATTATCTATTTCATATTTTGTAAAACTTCAATGAATTTTTTATTAACAAACTCAACGATTTCAAAGCAAGCAAAAGTAGTACCGTCCGGGGAAAAAAAAAACATTTTGATCTCCAGTGCACGAGACTGTATACCAGAAATTCTGAAGATATGCTCTTTTTAAATTATTTTGTGATATTGCTATTGAATTGAATTTTATGGTTTAAGTTCTAAGAACGTGATACTTAATAAATAAAGTTAATGCTCAAAACGTTCAAAAACGCCGCTTTGGGCATAATATAAAATCTGAAAGCTTTCAGTTTTTTTTTTAAATAAAGTTTGAGAAATCATATGGATAAATAACTATATTAAGTGATGTAATGAAACAGAAATTGATTTTTAATAAATCTGAAGAATGGTTACTTTATTGTAGTTTTCAGAATTTTGTAAATGGAATCACAATCACCTTGATGTTTAAAAATATACTTAAAAAAACTGTTTTTCTTATTTTAATGTAGAGTCAAAAAGTTGTTTTATTAGAAGATTTGGCTTCCCGTTTCAAGCTTAAAACTCAGGTATGTAACACAAACCTCAAAAGCAGCTTGTTGATGGCAGTAATGTCTCTAAATGCATGATTGATATATTTAAGATATACACATGATACATATATATACATGATATATATATAATAAATATATCATATCTACTTGGTAATTTTATTATTTGATATATGTTAGGTTTCTGTAATCAGAGTTATTCTTTTCTTATTTTGTTACAGGAAAAAATATTTATCAGGATAAGTTCTAATTAAAAACTTATGCTAAAAGTAAAAGGAGTATTTTGATACTTTTTGTTAATAAATTGTGTCATGTCTTTGACTGTCACTGGCCAGGTTGTTTAAGTATTACTTTATTAATTTTAGAAGAGTTTACCATATGTTTCATTTCAGTTTGTAAGTGCTGAATAGATTGGTTATGTAGAGTTTTAATTTTTTCCCATGTGTTATGTAAATATGAGGCAATTAATTTAGTAAATCTTTCAGAAAAGCCTCTCACCCCTTAAGAAAGTATCCATCAAGTGCTTTGTTATAATTAATTAACCAAGCTCCATACATCTTTGGTTAAACTATAGCTGTGCACTTGAAGTTTTCCATTTTCTTCTTCTGTGGAGAATGGAAATCTGGTAATTATATCATTGAAACTTCTTCTTGGCGGGGCCAGCGTGAGAAAAAGCAGTCCAATGCACAATTATGATACGAGACTTCTTTATACATACAGGGGGGGGGGGACTGTTAGGTATTAAAAAAAAATTAGATCTTATCTGCAGGTATTCTGATCTTCAGTAACATTGCAAAAATTGGTGCTTGTAATTTATAATTAATGAATATATAAGAACACTGAACAACTCAGTCATTTATCAAAGCATTAAATATAGATTACATAACAATAAGAATGCTACTTGTGTATTTAGGAACTAAAATTTGGTGCATATGTTAATAAAATATTATAAGTGGGCAAAATAATTAAATAATCTTGTTTCCCATAAAATTTGTCTACTTTTAAATTTGGGTAATATTTTCATTTCTGCAGGTCTTCTTTGCATTAATTAAAAAAGATCTGTATTCTGTTTCACAATAATTATCAAATTAAATATCTTCTTGCCAGCATTCACTTTGAATTAGTATATGTCTATATGTTTTACAGAAGGAGAAAAGTTCTTTTCAGAATGCTGGAGCTCTTTTCACTAGTTATCTCTTTACTATATATTATGCTTGCTTTATGAGGTAAAAATTAATCTTCAGAACAATCAGCATATTTACTGTATGCTTTTCTTGTGTTCCCATTGTTTTACTCATGTTTTTTGCTACATCGTCATCCTTGTTTTGTAATGGAATTTTTACATGCAATCTTAGTCAAGGAAATATTAAATCTTAACTAACAAATTTCTGTGCTATAGTATGTTTTTGCTGTGGAACCAAGTAATTCTTTATCTTTACTTGTAAACTCACAGAGTGTGTGATTCACAGAGTGATGAGGTGTAATCGGAGTCAGATTAGACTTTTTAGAGGTCCTTAGCACTTACAAATTTTGCTTCCACTACATACATTTATTCCTATTTTTCCTCATTCCTTCTTTCTTGGTCTTGATTTAATTGCACCACACATTCTGAATTAAAACTGGCAATGACAATTTTTTTTAGTGTCCCCTGTCTTTTATTCCTTGAGTACATTTTTCCTCACTTTGATGCCCATGCTTATTTTGCTTAATTAATCCAGCTCTGGGTGTAGAGAACAAGCATCATGCTATAAATCTTTGCAACCTTGTTTTCTTGTGAATCAAAGTGAAGGCAATATAATCAGCTAATGAATTGCATTCAGAATATTCTTTCAAATCAGATCACAAAGTTTCAGTTTTAAGTTTGTTTTATTGACTTTCAGAATTTCTAGTTGTAACACTTCAAAAATTCCATACTTCTGATGTAATCTTTTCTTCCACAGTTAAGAGACTTAGATAAATATGGTTTACATGTTATTTTAAAAGTAAAGACATGCAAAGCATGTTTTTCTTGAAATAAATAAACAAAACGAACAATAGGCCTGTATATTGGAGATAATTTAGCAAAGGACTCATGCAAGTAAGCCTGGCATAAGGTCCAGTACAACCAGTGCAATCACACTCGACTGCAGAATTTAGGGATGGCATAATTTTTAGAAATTAGAGAATTAACTTGTAGTAAAATTTAATGATGGCAGAGTTTTCAGAATTTAGGGAGATGTTAGGCAGCAGAATTTAAGACCCACAGAGACAGCACCAAATAGCAAAATGTGTGGCACCTGCACTGTATTCAATCTCTGAAGCTCAATATTGTGTATACGAAATAGATCCTTACTGAAATGCACTGCACTATGTTTCTAAAAAATGTTAAATATGAAAATGCTAATCTTTGATGTGAATATAAAATAAAAGGGAAATTATATCTTATTTTAAAACTCAATGGATGCTGTTTTTGCCAATCCTGGCAACTTAACAAAATATTCACTATAAATAAACAAAAGCATAGCACACAAAATTTTGTAGTCAGTTGTTATTAAATTTCTTAAGTTGCTTCTGTTCTTAAGATTCTGTTGATATGCATATTAAATTGGGGTTTAAAAAATGAACATTGAATGGGAAATCTATTGGGGGGAATGATTTATCAAAAATATGAATAAATGTGGGAATTTTTATGATTAGACTTTAAAAACTTTCTAGATGTTGCAAAGAGTGCCCAAGTATATGTTTGAAATAATTATTTATTGATATTTATGTTTAACTTTTGATTAAAATAATTACTTTTGCATTAATTGTGTATTGCCTTGCTGTTAATTACAAGTGAATATTGTATTTCTTTGAGTAAGATCAATAAGCCTGTAGTCTAGTAAAACCAGTAATGATCTGGAATGTTTGCATTTTGGTTAATCCTTTATAAAAGAGTCCGCCCCCTTTGTGTACTTTTACTTTCTGCAACTTTTATTTATTTATTTAGGATGCTATTGATAGACTCCAAGAGCTTTTAGCCCAAGAATGGTTGGTTGGAGTAATAGATGACAGAGGAAAATTTATTTATATTACAAGAGAAGAATTAGAATCTGTAGCTCAGTTTATTAAACAAAGAGGCAGAGTGTCTATAGCAGAATTAGTTGACTGCAGCAATACTTTAATAAATCTTCAACCTGACTCTACAGATTCAGTGGCAGTAGCATCTTGAAACGGACTTATTTGTATTTAAATTAATGTATTCATGTTTAAGTAAAAGAGAATTTATATTCACAGTTTTAATATGCAGTTCGATTATTTCTACTTTTTATTTATTTGAAGTCACTGCTTTTATTTACATAAATTATTTAAAATTGACTTGACAAAAAATATGAAATCTTAGAGTATTGAGATACTCTGTTGAAATTAACAGCCTGTAATTAAAAGTAAAATACAAATAATTTTCAACAAAATTCTGCAGAAAAATAGCCTAATGCTGGGTAAGATTTTGAATGCAATATGCTGTCTTTCAGTTGATCCAAAATAAAAAATCCTTAGAAAGTGATCATTTATACACAGTGCATCTACATTGTTTAAAAACAAATTCCTAAAAAGTTGATATATAAAGAAACCAACTTATTCATTGTTTAGCTTTCTACATATCTTCTTTCTGGTGCTATTTGTTTCTTAGCACATTTATAAAATTTCTGGATTGTTTCATATAAGCCAAATCTTGGAACCTGCTTTGGTCTCATTATTTCAGTTTCTGAATTGCTCTTAAAATAATGCTTATTAAGTGACACTTTACTTTAAAGAATAGAAAATAGTCTACAGAAGTATAGATACACTTCACTTTAGGAAATAGAAAAGAGCTTCCTAGTGCACAGTGACACTTCACTTTAGGGAATAGAAAATAGTCTGCAGGTGTACAGTGTCACTTCTATTTGAAATAAATAGTTTAGCAACAGTTGCATTGTGGAGGAAAAAGTAGTTCATTGCTCTTTCTATTCGGTCATTAAATTCTTAATGACATGTATTGGCTGAATGAAATTAAACAAATAATTGCATTCAAATTTCTTTCCATAAACCTGCAATATTTTAATGGAAGAAAATTGAGATGTGCTAGTAATCATTGCATTTGTTCCTTAGGTTTATGTAAAAAATTTAGCCGTGAAATTCTGTAGATGCACTTTGTATATGTAGATATGAAAAATAAATGAGAAAAGTTGAAATTGAAAATGCTAGGTAATAGATATGGTATTATATACGAATGAACTTATGTACTTGTATAGACTTTAAACAAAGCAGTTGATGTGGAATGGAAATGAAACCAGATAAGTTGGAATAAAGCAGAATTTTCATAAAATTGGCCAGAGATGTAGTTTGCAAGAATCAAGACATCTTTAACCATTTTTATGTCAAGTCATTGCATTCATTCAGTTGTTATGGCTGTTTAGCATTTATATTTCTATGGTAGCTTTATAATTTGTAGGTATATTAAATTTTAATGCTCATTTTTAATTTTTGCTTTGAAAGCATTGTTAGGATAAACTACATCACCAATAATTACCTGCAACTGATAAGCATAATTTCAATCATGAATTCATATCCAGAAATTAAGATAGTTGAGTTCTCAATGTTGTTATCAGGTCAAAGCTGGAATTTCGATATTTTTGTATGAGAAGTTATATTTATCTGAGATTTGTTTGATTTCTAAAAAGGATCTTTCCTTATTCAATCTGTAATGATCATTATAACATTAATTATATAGAGAATTTCATTTTGGATCAGCTTCTGTTGCTCAGTCCCATCTTTACAGCATAATGGGGTCCTGGCCAAACCAGTGCACTGTGGCTGCTATGACAACCACTCACAGAAATGCAGTGTAAATGAAATATAAACAGATAAGCATGGGGCCCCTAAGTGAGTATCCAGCAGGCCCATGTATTAAGACGGCCCTGATCTTGCTGTGCTTGTGCTTTTTTTTTTAACAATACAATGAATGACAAAATTCATTTAACGAAACTTCATACTATCAGGTACCTTTTTACATGTAATATATAGTTTAATTAATTTTTCTAGTCTGTAATGATTTAAATAGCATGGTTTTTAAAGTAAGATATTTCTGACTGAATTTTTGCATCCTTTATAGCAGGGTTTCTCAATCGGTGGTGCGCAAGAGAAAAATAGGTGGCACACAAAGAAGCAAAGTATTTTTAACTATTAAATTCAAAAATTAAAAAGGAGTGGTGGTTGTAGTAGTATTTTATAGGGTTCCCAGACAAAAGCCCACTGGACGAAAGTGCATGTGACAAAACCCCACAAAAGAAAGCCCACTATGATAATTGCCAACGCGACAAATACCCATGGCGGTGAAAGCGCACATTGATGAAAGCCCACACTGATAAAAGCCCACGTTGATAAAAGCTCACATAGATATAAGCCTACTCTGAGAAAAGCCCACACTGATAAAAGCGCACATAATCGAAAGGGACTTATGCTTTTTTAATTATTTTTATGTATTTATAATTTTAATTATAATAAATGGGTATTCAGATGTGAATTTTAATGTATTAAATATGTCTGTTTGTATATTCTATTACTACTTTATTTGTTTAATTTATTAGGTTAATTTATTAGCTGTAACTTTTCGATGATAAATCTGAAATTGCATTTTATTATTTATTTACTTATTTAACTTTGGTATGTGTATGTGAAAATGAAAAATATCATTGTGGAGTTTTTCACATGCTATTTTTAAGGTAATGTGGCTGAGATTAAATATAATTATGCTTCATTATTAAAACTATTAACTTTTTAATTAAAAAACACTTGAATTTTATTTTAATTTTAAAGTTTTTCCTTTAGTTCCTTTTTAGTTTAGGAATATTAAAACAGTTAAGCACAATGAAAACTTGGCTAAGAGATATTTTATTCTTTACTTTAGACTGAGCTTATTATCAAAGTTTAAACATATTTCTCATTGAAAGCTGTTTTGAATGTAACAATTATTTAGTTCACGGTTTTAAAGGATTTTGGTTGTAGATATGGTGGTCTTAGAAATGTGATATTCGCTGGCAATTTTCGTTTATGTTCACAAAAAATGCAGGTCTCTTTCAAAAGGCGACCTCTTAGAAATGTCGTCAATAGATATAATTCTCTATAATTATTTTCTAATGGATAATGGAATTAATGTAATCTAATGTCAATTAGAAAACGGCTATTTACAATAGGGAGATTTAAAAGCACTATAACTGTAATTAAAAGCACTGTAATTTTTCTTTCACAATCAGCTGTTATATAAGATTAGCTGCTTTCTGTGTATTTTCCATGTTATATAACTGATATCCATGCGTCTTGAACAAATATAGTTTACTTACAATTTTGCCAGACAAAATTACAAATGCCAGACAAATTATTAAAAAATTTCAATTTGAAACATTAATTTATATAATATGTATACTTAGAATCTAAAAACTATGAACTTTGGATCTGATGACTATAAATATATATTTATGCAGTTACAAAATTTTATTAGATGTTATTATATGCATTGTTCTCTACCATCTTCACAATCTCTAATAAAATGCTACATATTTATTACTATAGTTTGAGGTGATTGTACTTAAATTTGTAGATATGTTGACTTCTAAGAGTTGTTCCATCCCCCCCCAAAAAAATAAAATGAAAATTAAAAACACTATTCCAAATTGTTGTATTTGAAAGATTAAAAGGTCACATTTGGAATTCATTTTCTGACAGGGTGTCAGCTGCCAGTTTTAATTCAGAAATCTAAAAGAAAATATCTCTAGAAAATCGCCAAATTATAATTGTTACATTCAAAACAGCTTTCAATGAGAAATATGTTTAAACTTTGATAATAAGCTCAGTGTAACGTAAAGAATAAAACATCTCTTAGCCAAGTTTTTGTTGTGCTTAACTGTTTTAATATTCCTAAACTAAAAAGGAACTAAAGGAAAAACTAAAAAGAATTAAAATAAAATTCAAGTGTTTTTAATTAAAAAGTTAATAGTTTTAATAATGAAGCATAATTATATTTAATCTCAGCCACATTACCTTAAAAATAGCATGTGAGAAACTCCACAATGATATTTTTCATTTTCACATACACATGCCAAAGTTAAATAAGTAAATAAATAATAAAATGCAATTTCAGATTTATCATCGAAACGTTAAAGTTTGCTTTCAACCTAATAAATTAAACAAACAAAGTAGTGATAAAATATACAAACAGACATATTTGAGACATTAGAATTCAGATCTGAATACTCCATTTATTATAATTAAAATTATAAATATATAAAAATAATTAAAAAAAGCATAAGTCCCTTTTGATTATGTGCGCTTTTATCAGCATGGGCTTATATCTGTGTGGGTTTTTATGAACGTGGGCTTTTATCAGTGTGGGCTTTCATCAATGTGTGCTTTCATTGGTGTGAGTATTAGTTGCGTGGGCTTTTTTCTGGTCACCATTTTGTAGTGGTGGTACTAAATGTTTTCAATTTTTGTTTGGATGGTACGCATTAGTCAAAAGGTGGAGAATCACTGCTTTACAGTATTCAAGTATATGACTGCTTTATAGTATTCGAGTATATGACTCGTATGTCATTTATATTGTTACGAAATGTCCAGCTATTGTAAGATAGCTTCCCCGCAAGGCGGGTTTAGAGTTGCTATATTTTGCGCGAAATCATCCATTTGGCGATATGCCGTAGGCGTATGGAAAACATTCTAGAACGAATTCTTACCTGTTTGGCCGAGAACATTCTCGAAGGCAGGCCAAAAGGTATACGAAGTCTGTCTGTACACGGAGTAACAGTCGACAGTCCAGTGTCGAGTTGATCATCTACTGTATTGCGAAAGAGTGTTTCGTCAGTGTATCGAGAGTGTGCATCGCAAGTTGTAGCGTGGAGAGTCCGAGGACGACCGAACCGAGTCGGGAGCTGTACTCTAGTGCTTTGCCGTGAAGCTATATTCACCGTTATAACTGAAACCTGTATAGCTGATTGGTTCAGCGTGTTTGTCGTAGTTCTTCGACGACTGTAAACGTATTTTTGGAGCTGTCCTGAGTAATATTGGCTAATAAATTGTGTTTTCATTCTTCATCAAGTGCTGTCGTCAATTACTCCAAATCAACGAACCCGTAAGAACGCAACAACTAGTCGCAGAAGTGGGATCTGAGAGTGAATGCCAGTGACCCGCCTGCAAGAGAAAGCCAAGGCAGAGGAAATGGAGGCTTTGATAGACTTTTTTAGCCCGAGATAATAGCCGGACAAGAAAAG